GAAATAGCCTGGTTTAATTCAATCAATGCAAAGTAAAATTAGCTTTATATTCCCAAGATCGTTATATAATTCAATTAAACAAACATTAACTTAACACCTACTATTTGTAAAGCGCTGGAGTAGGTAATAAAAATCTCTGACATTTGTACAGTTCTTTGGCATAGTATTATATTAACTCTTCACACCAACTCTGCCTGGTTATCATCCCCATTTTACAGTTGTAGAAGCTGAGGCTGAGAAGGGTAAGTGACTTGATATTTGGTCACCACCTAACTAGTAGTAGAGCCAGGACTTGAACCCTCTCCCTTACCACAACTTCTTGAGAAGCAGAAAGGAAGCTTACAGGCCTCAAAAAAGTATTTTTACTCTTTTGAGGATTCCAGTGCACAAGAAAATATCTTGTAACCAAAACACTTGGAAGCCGAAGTATGCAAACAAATTTAAATGTCAGGTTAGGTGGGAATTAGGCCAGAACCCTCCCCGACCTTTTTTTGTTTGTTTTGAGACCAAGTCTCACTGTGCCTCTCAGGCTGGAGTGCAGTGGTGCAATTTTGGCTCACTGCAATCTCTGCCTCCCAGGTTCAAGTGATTCTCGTGCCTCAGCCTCCTGAGTAGCTGGGATTACAGGTACCCATCACCATGCCTGGCTACTTTCTGTATTTTTAGTAGAGATGGGGTTTCACCATGTTGACCAGGTTGGTCTCAAACTCCTAACCTCAAGTGATCCAACCGCTTCAGCCTCCCAAAGTGCTGGGATTACAGGCATAATCTGGCTATTTTTTTTTTTTGTATTTTTAGTAGAGACAGGGTTTCACCATGTTGGGCAGGCTGGTCTTGAACTCCTGGCCTCAAGAGATCCTCCCATCTTGGCCTCCGAAAGTGTTGGGATTACGCCCGGCCTGAGAAACTCTTTTAGTTTTAAGCCATGTTGGAAATATTTCTAACACGTATGGTATGGTCTGCAGCCTACAATAGCTCTGGGTACAATCAAATCTTTCTTTAATGATAAATAACTTTTCAGTGCTTCTGGGTCATCCTAGCCCTTCAGAACCCCTTGAATCGAGTAGTCCTGAATATGAAAGATGTAGAAGGTACAGAAAGGGGATAGTGAAGCTTTATCCATTGGACCTGAATGATGTCCAGCTTAGGTTCATCTTCTTACTCACAGATCAAATGCCCAAGACAAGATCATGTTTCTGACTATTGTTGTAAAAACTGACAGTGTTGCTCCTAAAAGTGAACCATTTCTTTTACTATGAAATAAAAATACTTCCTATTTTACAGAACAAGAATTTTGGGATTCTCCATTAAAAATAAAGAAAGGGCCAGGAACAGTGGTGCATGCCTGTAATCCCGGAACTTTGGGAGGCTGAGGCGGGCGGATCACCTGAGGTCAGGAGTTTTGAGACCAGCCTGGCCAACATGGTGAAACCACGTTCCTACTAAAAATACAAAAATTAGCCAGGTGTTCTGACTCATGCCCTGTAATCCCAGCTACTCAGGAGGTTGAGGCACAAGAATTACTTGATCCCGGGAGGCAGAGGTTGCAGTGAGGCGAGATCATGCCACTGCACTCCAGCCTGGGTGACAGAGTGAGACTTTGTTTCTAAATACATAAATGAATGAATGAATGAATAAATAAATAAACAAACAAATAAATAAATAAATAAAGTGAAGAACATATGAATAGATATTTTGGTTGGGATGGCAGAAAGTCTAACTTGCAGAAACAAGCCCCTTAAAAAATTGAGGTGAAATTCACATAACATAATATTAACTAAAATGTACACTTCATCCGCATAGAACACATTCACAATGCTATGTAATTATTACCTCTGTTTTGTCCTAACAACTCCAAGAGTCAGGTACTAAAACATTGTACATGCTCAAAAAGATTAGACACATGAGGAAAGCATTCAATATGGAAGACTGAGACTTTAAAAAAACAGACAAAAAAGCCACCTGGAGGAAGACTTACAGGGATAAGTAAACTTCCTAAAATTCTTAGTATATTCAGAGAGATAAGAAAAGGTATTGCATCCGCCCAACAAGAACAGGATATTAAAAAAAATTCAGAGAACAAGAAAAATAGTAAGCTTTTGGAAATTGAGGGACCAACTAAGTAGAAGGCTTTTTAAATAAAGTTGAAAAAAATCTCCCAGAAAGTAAAAGTTCAAAGAGGTGGTATATAAGACAGAAAACAAAAATAGGTTCAATTTTAGAACAATAGGCATTCCAGAGAGAAAAGCAGAGGGAAGGAAATCATTAAAGAAATAATTTAAGAAAATTTACAGAGTGAAAGGATCCACCAAATGACTAGTGTAATGGGTGAAAACAGACCTCCATCAAGTAGTATCATTGTGAAATTTCAGGACAAAAAGAAATTCTTGGACTCTCTGAAGTTGTGGTGAGGAGGAGAGAGAAGCAGGTTTTATACAAATTTCAAAAATTAGGATGTCATTACATTACCCAACAGCACCTCTAAAAGTCAGAATACAATGGAACAATGACTTTAAAATTCTGAGGGAAAAAAGGTGACTTCTAAGCTAGAATTATTACCTAGCCGAACAATTAGCTCATTGTGAAGGATGAATACAGACATTTTTAGATAAACAAGGTTTTGAAAAGTTCATCCCCCATACTTCCTTCTCTGAAAATTATTGAAGGATGTTGTCCACCAAGATGAAGGAGTAAAACCAAGAAATGGGAAATTCATGAGATTCAGCAAACAAGGAATCCAATGAGAGAGACTGAGAATATCCTCATGAAGACAGATTTCAGGATGACAGCTGTGCAGCGGGTTTAAATAGCAACTCATTCCCAATTAGAGCATTGGAAGGTTCCTGAAGATATTTCTTTAAGAATACAGAATTAATAGACTAGCGTTAGTCTATGTGTCTGAATGTACTGAGAGGAAAGTTACAAAACTGGTGGAGAGTTTGGGGTTAAGTTTGTGTAAGTAGCATGTAAATAAAATAAAACAAAATAAAGAAGAAAAGAAATAAATAAGAAATTGGTGGTCTGCAGTCATCTTATTGAACCTCAAGAGAAACCCTGAGCCAGAATTGCCAAGCCAGAGGGTTCCTGAATTCCTGACCCAGAGAAAAGGAATGAGATAATAAATATGCATTCTTGTTTTAAGCTGCTAAGTTTTAGGTTAATTTGTGATGCAGCAACATGTAACTAATACAGAGTTTGGTTCCTAGAAATTTGGTGCTACCATAACAAAAACCTGAAAATGTGGGAGTGGCTTTGGAACTGATTAGTAGGAGGAAGTTGGGAGGACTCTGAGAATAATAAAAGACCAAAAGTCCTTGTAAAGACTCTTATTAGAAGCCCAGTGGCCTGTGAGAAGGTTGCAGTAAAGGCTTAAAGGAGAATGAAGAAAATGTGATTGGAAACTAGAAGAAGGGTGATACTTGCTATGGTGGTGGCAAAAATTTAGCAACGCCATCATCTACAATAGGGGTCCCCAACCCCTGAGCCATGGACTGGTACTATGGGGATTGTTGGGTTTGAAAATTTCCAGCCTCTTCTATAGCAAATGATGCTAAAGTTAAGATATGGATTTCTGGCAAAAACTAAATCCAGGGCATAATCAGAAAAATAGAGTCTAAAAATTAAGCCAAGATGTGACTATAATGTCTTTACTATAACCTCAAAAGATCTAGGAAGTGCCTTAAAAAGCCATTCAGTCAAACAAGAAGGGCTTCTCAGAAACTTAAGGCTGTTGTCTCTCAGCCACCTTAGCAGAAACCCAAAGGTAGAGAAGGGCTTTTCTCAAAGATTTGTGGCTAAGTCTTTTGCCTAATGATGTGAAACTTGATAAGATTCATGAAAGACCATTTGGTTTTTAAGGGAATTGTATTAGCAGAAGCACAACCAGCTTGGACTGAAAGGAACAGATATAAAAAAGGAAAGTAAACCTTTGGACTATAAAACATGTACAGGCATGAAGCAGTCTGTTCAAACTGCTCAGCCACAAACACAGACTTTCATGGAAAAGGAAAGACGACTGAGAAGGTAGAAGCAACAGCTATGTTGAATTGGCCTGGCAGACTGGCTCACACCTGTAATCCCAGCACTTTGGGAAGCTGAGGTGGGTGGATCCAGGAGTTTGAGACCAGCCTGGGCAACATGGCAAAACCCTGTCTCTACAAAACATACAAAAGTTAGCCAGCCGTGGTGGCATGTGTCTGTGGTCCCAGCTACTTAGGGGACTGAGACTGGAGGATCCCTTGAGCCTGGGGGGTGGAGGTTGCAATGAGCTGAGATGGTGCCACTGCACTCCAGCCAGGATGACAGAGCAAAACCCTGTCTCAAAAACAAAACAATACAAACAGAGTTATGTTGAATAGTTTCTATGCTTTGAGTTCTAATAAAGGAACTAACAATATGTGCCTGATGGATTTCAGACTTGCTGGTGGCTAGTGACTCCTCTGAACCTCCTGTTTTCCCCTTTTGGAATGGGAAGGATAGCAAGTATCCTATGCTTGTCTTGCCATTTTACATTGAGCGTGTGAGGAACACAGGAACTTGTCTGTTAAGTTCACAGTTCTTCAGATTTGGAGAAAGTATACATGAGGAGCCTCATCCACCAGTTCATCTAAGCAACAAAATCCTAGACTTTAAAGTGATGCTATAAATGGATGAGACTTTTGGGGCAGTCTTGGTAGGGGTGAGGGTGTTTTGCATTTAGGAGGAATATAAATAATTTGTGGCCAGAGAGTGGAATGAGGTAGTTTTAAATACACCTTTAAATTCTTTGATAAGCCCCCTTGAATGTGAGCCAGATTAAATGACTTGCTTCTAATGAATAAAATGTGGTGGAATTAATACTACATGACTTCTGTCTCTAGGTCATAAAAAGGATAGCTTTTGTCTGGTGTGTGCTCAATCTCTCTCTCTCTCTTTCTCTCTGTCTTTTTTTCTTTCTCCCCTCTTCTTTTTCCCTCCCTCCCTCCTGTCGCCATTACCATCTCTCCCCATTTCTCTCTCAGATCACTCACTTTTGGGGGCATCCAGAAGCCATGTTGTGAGGACACTCAAGCAGCTGTGCAAAGAGGCACACCTGGAGAGGAACTGAGGCCTCCCACCAAAACCAAGCACTGACATGCCACTCATGGGTAAAATCTACCTTGAATATAAATCCTTTAGCCCCAGCCAAGCTTTTAGATAACTACAGCCTTGACTGACACCTTGCCTGTCTCACCTCTTGAGAGACTTTGAGTCAGTTAAGCTATTTCTAAATTCCTAACATATAGAGGCCAAGAGAGATGATAAATGTTTATTATTGTTTATGTGGCTTGTTTTAAGCCACTAAGTTTTGGGGTAATTACAGTCATGCATCACGTAATGATGTTTTGGTCAATGACAGACTGCATATGTGACGGTGATCCCATAAGATTATAATGGAACTGAAAAGTTACTATTGCTTAGTGATATTATAGCCATTATAATGTGATGTGTTATTACTATTATTATGATGTGCAATGCACCACTCAAGTGTTTGTGGTGATGCCGGTGTAAACAAACCTATCTCTGCCAGTCTTATTAAAAGTATAGCATGGATAGTCTGGGCACAGTGGCTCATGCCTGTAATCCCAGCACTTAGGGAGGCTAAGGAGGGTGGATCACCTGAGGTCAGGAGTTTGAGACCAGCCTAGCTAACATGGTGAAATGCATGTCTACTGAAAATATAAACGTTAGCTGGGTATGGTGGCACATTCCTGTTATCCCAGCTACTTGGGAGGTTGAAACATGAGAATTGCTTGAACCCAGGAGGCAGAGGTTGCAGTGAGCTGAGATCATGCCACTGCACTCCAGCCTGAGTGATAAAGCAAGACTGTCTTTAAAAAAAAAAAAAAAGTATAGCACAGGTAATGATGTACAGTATGTAAGACTTGGTAATGATATAAATGATGATGTCACTGGCTTATGTATTCACTGTATTACCCTTTTTAATCATTATTTTAGAGTGTGCTCCTTCTACTTGTTAAAAAAAAATTAACTATAAAACAGCCTCAGGCGAGTCCTTCAAGAGGTATTCCAGAAGAAGGCTTTGTCATATGAGATGACAGCTCCAGTTGTGTTATTGCCCCCGAAGATGTTCCAGTGGGACAAGATGTGGAGGGGAAAGACAGTGACAATGATCCTTACCCTGTGTAGGCCTAGGCTAATGTGTGTACTTCAGTCTTAGTTTTTAACAAAAAAGTTTAAAAAGCAAAAAAAAAAAAAAATTTTTTTTTAATATAAGAGAGCTTATCAGGATATAAATAAAAAATATTTCTGTACAGCTGTATAGTGTGTTCTTATTTTAAGTATTATTAAGAGTGAAAAAGTTTTAAAAATTTAAAAGTTTATGAAGTAAAAAAGTTACAGTAAGCTAAAGTTAATTTATTATTGAGGAAAGAAAGTTAAAAAAAAATTAGTGTAGCTTAAGTGTAGGGTGTTTATGAAGTCCACAGTAATGTAAAGCAGTGTCTTAGGCCTTCACATTCACTCACTACTCACTCACTGACTCACCCAAAACAACCTCCAGTCCTGCAAGCTTCATTCATGGTAAGTGCCCTATACATTTTTCATCTTTTACATCTTATTTTTACTGTACCCTTTTTATGTTTAGGTATGTTTTGCTACACAAATATGTATCACTGGGTTACAACTGCCTACAGTATTCAGTACAGTAACATGTACAGGTTTGTAGCCTAGGAGCACCAGGCTATATACCATATAGCTGAGGTGTGTAGTAGGCTGTACCATAAACATTTGTGTAAGGGCACTGTGATGTTCGCACAACCACAACATTGCCTAATGATGCATTTCTCAGAACGTATCTCCACTATTAAGTGATGCATGACTGTAATTATGCAGCAGGAGGTTACCAGTGGATCTAGCCAAAATTATGATATACCCATAACGAGCGTATGACCGACCTCTCAAAAATCTATCCATTTAAATGGTGAAGTGTATTTTCTGTGATCATGTTAATATAGGGAGGAAATACAGTTTTCCTTTTTTTGTATTTCTCACAGTGTTAGACTGATAATCTATAACCTGCATTCTTTGTATCCATCTTTAAAAATCAAAGCAAAGAATTTAAAAGCTAAAGAATTTTAGAGGTGGAAGGAAGCCAAGAGATTATGCAATTTAAATACTTTCTTATCAAATAGCACAGAGTTTTAGAAATAGTAGGTGCTCAATAATGGTTTTGGTTTTTTATATATGACATATAACTTAAGATGTTATTTAAAATTTATTTTTATCAAAGTAAAGTTTATATGTAAACAATCAAATATTACAAAATACCTTTATTATCAAAAGCAGCTCTTTTTTTAAAACATTTTTTTGGCCAGGCGTGGTGACTCATGCCTGTAATCCCAGCACTTTGGGAGGTTGAAGCAGCCAGATTGCTTAAGTCCGGGACCTGCTGGGCAACATGGCGAAACCCTGTCTCTACAAAAAATACAAAAATGAGCTGGGTATGCTGGTGTGTACCTGTAGTCCTAGCTACCTGGGAGGCTGAGGTGGGACGATGGCTTGAGCCTGCGAGATGGAGGTTGCAGTGAGCTATGATCATGCCACAGCACTCCAGCCTGGGTAACAGAGTGAAACCCTGGGTCACCTTTCCAACTCTTATCCCCTAAGGCAGCCACTTTTACCATTTTAGCATGCATCGTTTGATAATTACCTTTATATTCCCAGATAATAAGCTTATACTATTGTTTCTTAGTTTACTAACTTTAGAGAGTATTTACTGATTTCCCATTATGGTCGTTGAGAATTAATTTCTTACTCTCTTTTCTTAATAGAATTATGATTTTCATTTAAACCAGTACTTAATATTTACCCTATTATGACTACAATTATTGCTTACTGCTGAGTCAAGTAATATACAGTGATTATCTGCCCTCAAGTAGACTTTTTGTTTTCTTGGAGTCAATTATTTCCTTTTCTTTCATTGGCTTAATTTTCTATATATATCCTGCATTTGTTCCTAATGCATTAACAGATCTGTTAAATGTCTGGCAGTAATTGTTTCCAACTCTCAGACAGATCAAATCATTCATCAGTTCCATTATTTTCTTTCTAGAGACCTCCCTCTACCGCATTGTGTCCTCTTGCTCAAATCTGGCCAGATTGCTCTCTAGCGCAGATGTCTAGCTAGGACTTTCCTTAGCCATTCTGATTTGGGGATTGTTTTTAAAAGAGAATTTGCTAATGTGAATATAAGTAGAATGAAGAAGTATTAATATTTTTAAAAGAATCCTAAATTATTAATATATACTGCTCCTATGTCCTGGATTTACCAGCCTGTGAGATCACATAAAATGAGGTCACTTTTGCTTTTGATGCCCAAATTATTATGGCTCAAGCTTTCACAGTTTGAATGTAAGATCTCAGCACCAAGAACTTTGTAAAGTACCTGCTGAGTTTTTCTGGAGGTCCCTAATAGGAATGTATTCACATGTGCTCACCAACTAGTCCATCCACTGGTTAACATGAAGTGCTTGCCATATTTTTCGTCTTCTGCTTCTGTCCCCTGGCCAATGCGTATTGCACTGGATGCTTGTTTAAGGTGCTGATAGTATCCCTTAGAAAATGGGCTTTGGATTTGGCAATGGTGTTTTCTCCTGTTGTTTCAATTTCCAAGAATACTAAGGAGGTACTAGGCTTGATGGGATGTAATAAGAAAAGCCCTTCCCCCAATTCCACATGATTTTCCCTCTTCCTTTCCACCATTGCTCAATGTCCAGAGCCCACAAAGTCTCTTTCAGTTTCTGCACTGTGCAGTCTTCTGCTTACATACCTTCTCATCACTCTATATCCAACAACAATCAACAGTCACAACCAATTGCTAACCATCCATCTCTGCAGGGGTGACACAAAAGCTTAACAACTCAGAGACACAGCTCAACCACATAATTGATTACCAAGCTAAAATGCGTAACATTTATATTCTGGTGATTTTCTCAAGCCAGAGAAACAGTCAGCATTAATGTGAGATAAAGTGTCCATTCTGGAGATAAAACACTACTTGCAACTTTCAAATGATGGGCCTCTTTTTGCTAGACATGATTTTTTTAAACCTTAGAGTCTAAACTCAAGTACCATATTGCAAATTTTTAAATGTGTCTATATACTTTTAACCCCAAAGATTTTCCCTTGGGAAAATTTGGAAATCTTCTATAGATATCTGTAAGTAATAAGATGGAATTGAAATACAAAATATTTTAGACTTTTCACTATGGCCTGGCCTTTTCCCTAGAAATTCTCGAACTTGCTGAGTTAACATTTTTGAAGAATACCTAAAGGGTGGATGTGCCACCAACAGAGAGATCGGCGAGGAGACTACATCAGAGGAAAGAATTTTTCTTGTGGGCTTTAAAGTACCACCATGCTGGTGTTTTAATTAAATGAGAGAATCAAAATCCATATTATTCCAGGAAGAAATCTCAGGGCATGATACACAAGACCCTTCACCATCTTTCCCTGACTCCCTGTCCAATGCAATTTCCCAACTATGCGTTTTCCACCCTTTCAGTGTTCCAGTTTTCTCCATGTAGTGGATGAGGACAGTTGCATTCACAATTTACCCAGCTAGTGAAAGGTAGAGCCATGATTTTAACCCAGGTCAATTTGACTTTGAAACTTGTGACCCTTTCCTGCTTACTACATTGCCACGTGTCATTTTGGGTGTATATAGGAATGTCACTAAGGAGGAGGAGCTGATCTGAGGGAATACCCAGCCATGTAGATTATCTGGGATTTCTCTGGTATATATAATAGTTTCTTAGTATTATATACTCTGTGTGGAGGGAGACCCTGGAGAGAATCCCCTGTGTGAGCAAACCTAATCCCAAACCTCACTGTCTCTCTCCTTTCATCTAATACCTTTCTTCCATCCCTTTTTAGGAGAGAGGCCAAAAAAGGAGAGAGGATGGGATGCTGATGCAGCATTCTGCTCCCCATAAGCCATCCAAGTGGCAGACTGGGCTTACCTTTCCTATGACATCTGTTAACAGCTTGAGGGACAGAGGATCATGAACCAAAGCATCTGTGTAAAAGGAACCAAGGTATTTCTTCGGGTTCATTGGGTTGTCCTGGGCACACAGATCTGGGCGCATGCTGAATCCATGGGAGATTCTTCCCACTGTGAAGGGGAAGGCACCACCTGCAAGTAAAACCCATTACTGAGGGGTTAGTGTTGATTGTAAAGGATTCCTTTAGTCTTGATGTTATATGCAAGAAGTTACTGTAGGCCAGCTGATTAACAGTAATTACAAAGGACCTATTGTGTTCTGAATGCTGAGAGATGATGGAAGAAATGACATTAACTCATCTAGAAATTCAGATTTGAGAAATTCATCCTAAAGAGAGAAGACAGGCTGGGCACAATGGCTCACACCTATAATCCCAGCACTTTGGGAGGCTAAGGATGGCAGATCACGAGGTCTGGAGATCGAGACCATCCTGGCTAACATGGTGAAACCCCACCTCTACTAAAATACAAAAAAATTAGTCAGGCGTGGTGGCACGTGCCTGTAGTCCCAGCTACTCAGGAAGCTGAGACAGGAGAATCGCTTGAACCTGGGAGGCGGAGGTTGCAGTAGCCGAGATCGCACCACTGCACTCCAGCCTGTGTGACAGAGTGACACTCTGTCTCAAAAAAAAAAATAAAATAAAAATAAAAATAAAAAAAGAGTGAAGGCAAGTGTGTAAAGATAGGTAATCAAAGTTTTCAAATATAGTGTGATTATAATAGCAAAATATTGAGACAACCTATCAGCTGGGGACTATCTAAGTCATGGTGACATATCCGTGAAATACAAGGCCATACACAACACCATAAAAAATGATGAAGCTCTGTATTTGTTGACATGGAAAGATGTCTTCTCTATGCTGTTGAGGAGGAAAGGCATGTTAGAGAATAACATGTATAGTTTGATTTTGTGTGTGTGTGTGTGTGTGTGTGTGTGTGTGTTTAAGGGTCACAAATTCAATTACCTACAGGGACCATGCAGGCAATGTAAAAAAATGAAGTACGCCTATTTGTAAACAACGAAGAATAGTAGGGACTGTTGTAGACTGGAGAGCTCATGATCTAACTAGAGGGATTTAAATAAAAAACAGAAAAAAAAAACCCAGTGCCCAAACTAAACTTGCCTACAAAAGTAGAATTTGGTTCCTAAACCATCATGTGACTAGAGTGATGGCTGGAAGGATGTTATGAACTGAATCCTATTCCTTCAAAATTCATATGCTGAAGCCCTAATGCCAAATGTGACTGTATTTGCAGAAAGGACCTCTAAGGAGGTAATTAAGGTTACATGAGGTCATAAAGTGGGGCCTCAATCCAATAGGACTGGTGTACTGATGTCCTTGTAAGAAAAGGAGGAGAGACCAAAGGCCATGTGAGGAAGGTGGCCATGTGCAAACTAGGAAGAGAGCCCTCACTAGAAACCAACCCTGCCAGCACCTTGATCTTGGACTTCTAGCCTCCAGGTCTGTGAGAAAATTAATTTCTGTTTTCTTACAGTCATGCAATCTGTGGTATTTTGTTATGACAGCCTGAGATGACTAATAAAAATAGGGTCTTACCGCCATGTGCGAAACACACTTTCAGTTTAGGAAACTTCTCAAATACTCCACCCATGATCATGGAGCAAATGGCTATGGTGGTCTCTGCTGGCATTCCTGGAGAGGAAATAGTTGCAAGGCTCAGGGATGACCAAGAAGAAGAAGTTCAGTGATGTTAGTGGCTAGGGAATTGTCAGTGCAAAGAAACTTGAGGCCCCTGTACCCTGGCATGGTTTGGCTGTATTATAGGGCATTACTTTGGCAAGGAGAACCACGTGAAACTTCCTACTTGCCACTTGAAGGGAGACTCATCTAATGGCTAGAGAGGTCGAGGAGCCAGAGGACTTAGCATTTGCGTTAAGTCCCCCAACTTCAGTTTGGGATGCAGTGGGACAGGTGGAGTGTGCCAAGTCCGAGCTGAACCCTAGCTCCTCCAGTTTTCTGCCTCCTGGCCTCTGGCAAGTTATTTAATGGCTCTGAGCCCACATTTCATCTGTAAGATGACGTCTGTGTTGCCCATTTTGCAAGACTGTTGTGGAGCATTGCCAATAATGATGTCAGCCAAGTTCCTGGACAGAATTTCACAATGGAGGTGCTCAACAAAAGTATTAGTTGCTTCTCTCTCAATTTCTTCATCTTTAAATGGTGAGTTCCTGCCAGTGAGTTGTTTTGAGGATTGGCAGACAGCACCTGGCATTTAGTAAGGGCTCACTAAATATTAACTATCATTATGATCATTGCTGCTAAATCTTTGCTGCCTCTTATAGCTGAGGTTGAAAATAACTGGATTAAAATGAATTATTTCAAGTGCTTTGTGCTTCTAGGAGAAACAGCTGGTCCGTGTCTAATGCCTTCACCCCAAGGAGCCAGTCCAAGCTACATTGCCATTGACTGCTTTTCAGACCATGACTCAGAAATCTGACCGCTCCACAGCTGTGCCCTGCACCTTCTGGGGAAGCCTGACTCTGTAGGCTGTGGAGCTAGGCTTCACAGGATGCTCATTCTGCCTGGGGCTGGTCACTGCTTCACAGGCAGAGACACCTCTGGCACCCAGCTGCCTGGGAATTCTGGAAGCATGATAGATTTGTACCCATCTGGGAGCAATTTGTGGGCAGAGCTTCCTGGAGGCAGAGAGATGGATGACATCACTTTCTTTTAGTTCTGTGACTCTACTTTCTCATAATTACTTGAACGATAACCCCACAATCCATTCTCCATACAGCAGTCAGAGTTACATTCATAGTGTGAATTGGATCATGATGCTTCTCTGCTGGGAATCCTCCAATCCACTAATGACCACCTTTGCATCCAGAATAAAATTCCAAAATTAGCCTGTTTTCTTGTGATATATATACTTGTTTATAATCTCTTTCCTCTAACCAGAATATAAGCTCCATGAAAGCAGAGGTTTTGTTCATGTTTGTATCCCCAGTGCCTGGGACAGGGCCTGGCATGCTAGAAGGAATCAATGTATTTGTGTTGCATAAATGGATGATGAAATGACTCTATATGCAGATGCCCTCCTGTTGCAATATAAATAAGTTTATGGGCCGGGTGTGGTGACTCACACCTGTAATCCCAGCACTTTGGGAGGCCAAGGGGAGCAGATCACTTGAGGTCAGGAGTTTGAGAACAGCCTGGCCAACATGGTGAAACCCCGTCTCTACTAAAAATATAAAAATTAGCTGAGCATGGTGGCATGCACTTGTAATCTCAGCTACTTGGGAGGCTGAGGCAGGAGAATCACTTGAACCTGGGAGGCAGAGGTTGCAGTGAGTTGAGATCACACCACTGCACTCCAGCCTGGGCGACAGAGTGAGACTTGGTCTCTAAATAAATAAATAAATAAATAAATAAATAAATAAATAAGCTTGTGGGACTTATCAAAGTTTTGTGAATAAGGGTGACATTTTGCTTTGAAGCTTGATGGCACTGGGCATCTTGGGTTATCTCATCCTATTAATTATTGCCCAAGATAATTTGGTGGGGGATGAGTAGGAAGCCTCCTTACTAAATACTTTGGTTTCCAACAGCAATCACCGGAACATATAAAACATCAGAGCAGAAAGAGACCTTTGGAGGAATCCAGACCAGCATTCTCATTTTACGGATGAGGGATTGCGGCCTATGGAGGTAAAGTGATTTACTACAAGCAATACAGTGAAATAGAGACTAAGTTGGAACTAAAATCCCATTTTTTGACTTCCAATATATTGCCCCATTTAATTCTTCATGGTGATTGCTATTTTGATTACTTAATAATTACTAATTGTACTAGTTGGGCTGAGGAGAGAAAGAACAATGGTCTCCTTAAAGAAAATCCGGTGCAGTGGTTCACACCTGTAATCCCAGCACTTTGGGAGGCAGAGGTGGGTGGATCACTTGAGGCCAAGAATTTGAGACCAGCCTAGCCAAGATGGTGAAACCCTGTTTCTACTGAAAATACAAAGATTAGCTGGGCATGGCATTGCACCCCTGTAATCCCAGCTATTTGGGAGGCTGAGGCAGGAGAATTGTTTGAACCCGGGAGGCAGAGGTTGCAGTGAGCTGAGATTGCACCACTGTACTCCAGTCTGGGCGACAGAGCGAGAATTTGTCTTGAAAAACAAAACAAAACAAAACAAAACAAAAAATCAACAATTTTCATTTGGGGACCAAGTTTTCATTGGGTTTGTAGATGAGCTCTATTTTTCACCTATAGCTCCAGAATTTTACATCTGTTCTCTATCTCTTCTTATCATAACTGATAATGAGAGACTGGATAGAGCAAATGGAGTTTTCTCCTCTACCCTTTCATGGAACTATGGATAGTGCAGGAGGCAAAGGGCAGAAGAGCAGATAACAGGAAAATTGCAAGCCTGGGCCATCTTTTATACAAGATTTCAGATCTTTGGGTGGTGGAAGTTGACCTTCTACCTTTAATTCTAGGGTTCTTGTTTGTATGAACTGATGCTATTATCATCTTTCAAAAAATCTACTAGACAAGCATGGTTACATTTTTTGAAGCCTCTTTGGGAGTCTGTGTAGCAAGACTGGCTTTGGAGTCAGATATATCTGTGTAAATTACATTTTCATGTATTAACTGTGTGACTTGAACAACTTACCTAAATACTCCAAGCCTCAGTTTCTCCATCTGTAAAATGATCATTATAATGTCAACCTCATAGATTAAATATATGATTTATTTATGATGGTATTGGATATGTTTAAAATTAAATGAGGTAATGTATATATATATATAGCACTAATCCAAGTAAGAGCTCAGTAAGTGATAGCTGCTATTACTCATAATCCTGTTAATTATTCATACTTTCCCTATTTGACCTAATAGGTTTCCATGGATGATTGGAAAAACCCAAGAGTTGGTCCTCTGTTCCAGACCCCACACAGACACAAACCTACGAGCCAAGGGAGCCAGTATTTGGCCATTCGTCCATCCATCTGCATGTCCCAGGGATGCACGAACAGAGAACACTTCAGCCTTTCAGCTGCCTTCAAAGAAGCAATGAGAGAGAGAGAGAGAGGGTTACTTTGATGAGTGAGCAGATACCAGGTACTGTTTTGGGGAAACTGCTTTTCTTTGAGTCTATATTGTTCTGTAAAAATAAATTAAAATGCTTTTGAAGTTGTTTTATGATCTATTTAAAAGAGATATTGACAAACTTCTCCTGCTTGGAAAATAAAAGGGACACTTAGAATTAACAAAGGGGGTTGGTAGATTTACCACTGAGGTCGATGAACTTAATATATCATCTGGTAAAACAAGTGTCCGGAAATATCCATTATTCAGATGTTTTGGCTGACAGCAAAATGCTCAAGGACGAATCCCACACCTGAAATGTAGGGGAAAATTTCTGGCTCCTACTTGGTCTACTCTTTTGGAAGGATTGCTGAGATTGTATCCTCGGAGTCAGGGGCGAGAGTGCCCCCTCCTTTTCCCCACTTGGAAACCAGAGTTTGTGGAAAGTGAGGAAGTGATGTGCTGGAGCCGGAGGCTCAGTGCTGGGCTGGAGCTGGCTGGCCTGACCCAAGCCACCTGACTACTCAGAGCCCAGCACTGGGTGGAATCCCTGGGGTCTGTAGGCATTCTTCCCGCCCCAGGAGCCCAGCTGAGTCTCTGAACAGTCAGCTGTGAGTGAGATGACCTCAGAAAGGGAAGAGGTCAATGCCTTAGCCAGACAGGCACTGAGATGAATGTCATGGGCATGCTCCAGGGCCTTCTGAGAAATGGAAATACCATCTGGATGGAATGACCTTTATTCAACAAAAAGTTTAATTAAAAGAAGTCCCCTCAACAGGCATTGAATATTAGCACTCATCAAGATTCAAAAGAGATTTCCCTTAGAATAATTCCTCACTATGTATACTGAGGTTCTGGAGTGACTCCTCCTACCCTCATACATAAATGTTTGTGCTAACCAGGCTGATGCAATGTGACTTGTGTACATAAGCATTTTTAAAACAGGAAACCAATTCCGGGACAACAGGGGATTCTGGTAAGTTGAAGAAAGGACTTTTAATTCAACAGGTCCTGGGGAGCTGAAGAGATATAAGCCTTTTAAAGAGAGAGAAGCTAATTGGTTTCTGATCATAGATGCAGGTTGGAAAGAAAATACTGACTTCTTGGGATGGTTTGAGTTTGGCAAAGGTGCATGGTCATGGTATCTCTGTGGGATTTGACTCCTCATTTGGATACAGCTTTATTCTGTGTGCCTCTGGTGGTTCTTTTCTTTTTAAAATTTTTCCTTTTTATTTTTTGTAAACTTTTATGTTCAGAGTACATGTGCAGGTTTGTTGTAAAGGTAAATTGCATGTCACAGGGGCTTCGCATACAGATTATTTTATCACCCAGGTAATAACCATCGTACCCAATAGGTATATTTTTGATCCTCACCCTCCTCCCACCCTCATTTCTGTTCAATTCAAATTAACATATTGTTGATCTCCTTCTATATATGGGGTTTGTAGAGAATAGAAAAAGAAGTTATACTCTTACAATTATAATTAACATTGAGAACTTATGTGCCCAAGCTGTTATAAGAATTTTATAATTATTAACTAGTTTAATTTTTTAATGAGATGCACACTTTTACTACCCCCATTTTATGGAGAAGAAAACTAAGGCAGATAGAGGCTAACTTACTCAGGCCTTGTGGCTGATAGATGGTGGAGCTGGGCAGTTGGCACTGCAATTCTGTCTGCCTTATACCAGTGACGAAGTTGTTTTTGTGCCTGAAAACTGACCTGAGCATGTATGATTGGGTTTACTCACTAAAAAGGGAGGTCTAGGAGATAAAGGGGACAGTTAGACCTTTGGAGTGCCAGGATCACCTTGAAATGACAAAGCCAACCTCGCTTATGAAAATTCATTTCAACACATTATTGACACAAACTAGAGAGCAGAGAGGCAGGCAAACCTTGCTAACCAAACAAATATGCTGCCACCCCCAGGACATCGTGAGCCACCTGGGGACAGCATGTGCTCCTGAATCCCCTCAGAGACTGGATGTCCCCAAAACAGCCCAGTTAGAATGATTGATGGGTCGACCTAGTCACGCAAATGAAAATATCCATGTGGACCCCGACCGGCTGCTGTTGCTTCCTAAGCCCCTTAGTAATTAATAAACCCAAATCCAATGAATGCTAACATGACTTGCAGCTGAAGTCTCGCTCACTCTGTGCTGAAACAACTTGGATGCATAAGTAAATAAATCCTCTTTCAAAGCTCATTAAAGTTTCTAGAAAACATTCGCTACATCAGCTAAGCCACTGCAGCCAGTGAGCTTCAGGGAGTTCAGTATTTTGAGGAACATTAAATCTTTCAAGTCATTAGGAGGCAATTTAACAGGCAATCCCCTGACTGGTGGGCAGTTGCCATAGATACAAACATGGAAAATTTTTTGCCTGTAGTTAGACCTCAATAAATACTAAATGAGTAAATGATCAGTAATCACAGTGCCTGGTGAGTCCACAAACATCTATGTAAGTCATTATTAAAGATTTTGCATTTATAATGAAAATAATAGAAAGCAATATTATTATAATTCTAGGAGGGAAATAAAAAATTTAAAAAATGCAATTGAGTAGAGTTATGCATCGTGAATCCTGGTACTGAGATGAGAAGATTTGGTTATAGAAAGAATTGAAAGTGGAGGAGGAAGAAGAAGACTGATGGAGATGACTGTGGAACTATGGATACTTGAAGTTGGATATTTCAGAAATGAATGGCACTGAATTTTTGAACATACATTTTACCATGAAATATTTTAAGTGTAGAAAGTGTAAACAATAACACAATGAGCATCCATATACCCACCACCTAGTTTCATCAAATGTTAACATTTTCATGGTATTGTTTTTTATTAGGTATTTTAAAGTACATTTTCAAAATATATGACTTAAAAAATATCTTAATTACAGGTTGGTTAAATAAATCAAAACATAGCCATATATTGGAATATTCTGCAGTTATTTAAAAATCATGCATTAAAAGAATTTTCACTTATGTTGGAAATTTTTAATTAGCATACAAAATCACATGTGTAACAGAATTTCAGTTTCATGAAAATATAGATATATGTATATCAAAAAAGTAACTGTGTATGATAACAGTGGCTACTTATCTTTGGGAGGCTGGATTATGGGTAATGTTTATTTTCGTCTTTACACTTTTCTGTATTTTTGAAAAATGTTAAGTATTTTTTTTTTTTCAAAGCAGATTTTTTTTTTTTTTTTTGGGTTGGTGTTTTGCTCTTTTTTTTTTTTTTTTTTTTTTTTTTGAGACAGTGTCTAACTGTGTCGCCCAGGCTGGCGTGCAGTGGCGTGATCTTGGCTTACTGCAGCCTCCATCTCTGGAGTTCAAGCAATTCTCCTACCTCAGCCTCCCAAGTAACTGGGATTACAGGTACCCGCCACCATGCCCAGCTAATTTTTGTATTTTTAGTAGAGACAGGGTTCCACTGTGTTGGCTAGGCTGGTCTCAAACTCCTGACCTCATGATCTGCCTGCCTCGGCCTCCCGAAATGCTGGGATTACAAGCATGAGCCATCGCGCTTGGCTGAGTCTGGCTCTGTTACCCAGACTAGAGTGCAGTGGCACAATCTTGGCTCACTGCAACCTCTGTCTCCTAGGTTGAAGATGTTGTCATGCCTCAGCTTCTCAAGTAGCTGGGATTACAGGGGCGTGGCACTACACCTGGCTAATTTTTTTGTATTTTTAGTAGAGATGGGGTTTTGCTATGTTGGTCAGGCTGGCCTCGAACTCCTGGCTTCAAGTGATCTGCCCACCTGGGCCTCCTGAAGTGGTGGGATTATAGGTATGAGCTGCTGCACCCGGCTGAAATATATATATACATATATATATATGTCATTAACACGATTCTTTTGCACAGTGGCTGTAAAGAGGGTATTTTGGCTTCCAAGTGAGAGATTAAAAGGAGGGCAAGGGGGACGGAAGGAAAAGAGATTTCACTGTGTTAACTCAGCGCTGGCCTAGGAACCATTCCACCAGTTCCTCTTTGGAATGGCCCACTCTTTAGCGGGGGCTATTTCTACACCTTCTACCTACATCTAACAAGTCATAGATGCCACTCTCCCCTCCCAGTGGGGTGACGCTTCCCCTCCTCCCCGCCAGCACCCAGCAGTGCCCCGGGCCCAGGCACTGGGCCGCTGGCGTTGGCTGAGCAGCTCCGCTACTCACCGCATAGACAGGAAAAAGCTCCCGCGCGTTCAGGTCCCACTCGTTGATATGGGTGCCAATTTGGACCCCAGGAAAGCCCAGCTCTTTCACACAGCGCTCCATCTCCTGGACCGCCAGCTCAGGGGCCTGCATGGGCAACGTTCCCAGACCCACAAACCTCCTGGGGTAGCTCGCAACGGTGGTGGCAAGGTCGTTGTTTAAAAGCTGGCACAGGTTTAAAGTGTCCTTAGGTTTGGCCTGGTGGAGACAGGAAAGGGAAAACCCCATTGTTGAAAACCTACTTCTTTTAGACATTTACTCTGAACAGTGCCTCCTTGTGGCTATAATATTTGTCATTTTCAAATGACAAATTTTGATGAGCTTTACCACATCAGAAAACAGAGGCACAGTTTGGAAAGGTGCTGGCCACAGAAGACCCAAAAGCCAATCTTTGTAAAGCAAAGAAAACAGAAGGTATATTGCTGATTCATTGGAAAAATTGAGGCCAGAATCAGAAGGGAAGGACACAATTACTGGGCCTGGTATCCCAACACTAGAGATGGAATGAGCATGGGCCACCTCCAACTGCAGAAAGATCTTAATGCCCCCCTACCTCCCAGGAGGTCAGGCCTGGCCAAGGGCCCCAAGCCACCATCAAGGCACCTCCTTATCATGCCTCGTTGAGGGCGGCCAGGCTGGCTCACTGACTTGTCCTGCCCCTGCCTGTTCTCCTGTCTGTCCTTCTTGTTGGCTGTGACATTCAGGGCTGTCCTTGGCAAAATGCTGAGGCAGATGAAGTTTGCTGTTGGTTTCCCTAATGCTCCCTTCTTCACTGTTTTCTTTCCTCTGTCACCCCACTGCCCACTGCCAGGAATCTGATCCTCTCCTGCAGCCTCAGTTGTCTAATCAGAGTGGTAACCAATCTGATAAATTCAGGCATATTGAGGTCTCAGGGCACTTTTAAGTAGTGAATGCAATCGCAGGAACAGGCAAAGACTGAGTCACTCACTAATACTGGGTTTATGAACACAGATCACGGAAGTATGTATGAACAGGTGGTATTTCCACTGCTCCTTAAATCATGAGAGTGAGTATCTGTTTGGATGAGCAGGGACTTAGCACGCTCCCGGCTATGTACAAACATTTTCCTCCACAGGCTGGAAATCATGCCTGAAACTTTTAGTGCTTGAGATTTATTCACTTGGGAAAGGGCATCCAACCTCAGGATTCGCCTTCTGAATTCTGTTTTTCCCTTGGAGAGCTGATATATTAGGTCATGATTATTATTCCTGCCTCAAAATCATTCTCATCTCAGAAGATACTGGCTTGTCAGTTCCCCAGCAAGGCACTGCAGGAATGAGTCATCAGACAGGAAAGTTCTGGTGGAGAATAAGGCTGACCTAGAACCACCGTACGGTGGAACTATAATGCAAGTCACATAGCAACATGTGACTACCGGCTACTGTACTGGAGTGAAGACACAGCTAAGAAGACAGGCCTGAGAGGGGACCCTGCTGATCTCTGAACGGGAGGACAGTTAGTTGTTGGGGGTGGTCAGTGGTACTGGTGTCCAGACTTGAGGCATCTGTTCACTTTTTGGGAGCTCGACGCGAACCTTCCACACCAAGGAGATGGCTTGAGGTTTCACACTCACCCAGTAGCTAAACATGACAGGAACTGTGGAAAGGGCTTGCACTGTTACTCCTAGACATGGACACAAAGAAGGGCAAAACTGGTGAGAAGAATGGCCTGGACACTCCTTCCTTTCCCAAGGCCAAGTGGCAGCCAGCTTCCACCCTAAACTCCTGCTCGCCCTCCCTACGTCTCTCTCAGTCCCATCCCTAGACCCCCCTCAGCCCCTACCCCCGGATTCCAGGGAGGTAAGTAAAGGTTGGATACAAATGAGATCATTGAAGGAAAACTAACTGACCCCATTTCCGAAGAGTTATTTCTCCCCTCCTTCCTGTGAAATTTTATTTAAGCAAGACATTTTCAGGCTTTCCATCTTAGGTTATGCACAGCAGAGCATGTCTCTCAGCCACCTTCCCTGCCCCTTTAATTCAGCTCCTAAGTGATCCTAGAAGGAGTCCCATGGTCTGAAATACCCAGAATGGGACCCTGAGTTTGACTCCAGCATCCAGGATGCCAAGCATCCTTTGTCTTCAAGAGGGCCTACTTCCTAGGGTTGTTGTAGGGATTAAATGAGTTAATACATGTTAGGTTCTTAGAATAGTGCCTGGCACAAAGTAAATACTCAGTGAGGGTTGGTCATGACTGTTCTCTTAAGGACAGCCAAGGAATGAAACACACAACAAAAACCAAAGATGACACACACACATTGTTTACCATGCAGCCATAAGCTGTGGTTTCTGACACCAGTCATTCAAGTCTCATGCTCATTAGTTTTCTCCTTGAAAAGGCGGGTCCTTGCTGCAGCTTCATATTTACTACAAAACCTTGCTCTTTGCTGTAGGTTAGGGAAGCATGTTCTTTCTCCAGCTCTCCTCCCACTCCAATATACTTTTAGAGGGATATATGCTATATTCTGTGGAGTACTCCACAGAAGTGCTGCAGGTTTTCTGCGAAGTTCAATTTAAGTGCCATTTAAATATATTTTTAATTAAAAAGAGTTTTTTTAGAGACAGGGTCTTGCTCCACCACTAGGCTGGAGTGTAGTGGTGGTGCAATCACAGCTCACTGCAGCCTCAAACTCTTGGGCTCAGGTGATCCTCCCACCTCAGCCTCCTGAGTAGCTGGGATCACAGGTACATGCCACCACGCCTAGATAATTTGTGTGTGTGTGTGTGTGTGTGTGTGTGTGTGTGTGTGTGTGTGTGGAGACAGGGTCTCACTGTGTTTCCCAGACTGATCTTGAACTCCTGGGCTCAAGTGATCTTCCTGACATGGCCTCCTGACATGCTGGGATTATAGGCATGAACTACCACACCTGAGTCTATTTTTAATTGTTAAAAAAATATATAAAGCAAAACCTGGACAAAAGTATCTACAACAAATTCCAGCATGCCGGAGGCTACCTACTCATTTTAGGCTGACAGTTTGATTCCTTTTTTGCAGACCTTGGAATAAAATGTCTCCTGCTATCTCTTTGTATATTTGAACTCCTTATAATTTGTCTTTGATTAGAAAGGTGGTAGTGCTAAACTGCTCTTTTATTTGTGTGTTTGAATTATTTATTTTCTGGTTGAAATCTTCCACCAATGTAAACATTTAGTTCTGACAATGTCAGTGGTGGTCAGTTCCCCATCACAGCCCATGGACACAGCCCACATGTGTCTGGAAGGCTCAGGCATTTTCTTAGAGCATGTTCTCAGGTGACACAGTCAGCCAGGCAGTCACGGTGAAGCATAATATGGCCATCATGTCATACTTTAGATAGACTTGGAAATTTCATTTTGTTTTGTTTTGAGAAAAGTCTCACTTTGTTGCCCAGGCTGGAGTGCAGTGGCATGATGTCGGCTCACTGCAACCTCCACCTCCCAGGTTCAAGCAATTCTTATGCCTTAGTCTCCTGAGCATCTGGGATTACAGGCATGCGCCAGCATACCTGGCTAATTTTTGTATGTTTAGTAGAAATAGGATTTTGCCATGTTGACCAGGCTGGTCTCGAACTCCTGACCTCAGGTGATTCACCCGCCTCAGCCTCCCAAAGTATTGGGATTACAGGTGTGAGCCAATGTGCCTTGTCTGAAATTCTTTTAAATTGTGAGGACTTGTTTGATTTTTAGATATAAGGTAAAAAGTGCAAGATGTTCTTAGAGCTTTTTAGCAATTCACCTTTGAAACAAACACTTCCTAATTCTCTTCTTTCAAATTTCTGGATTGATTTTATTGTAGTGTATTCTGAGATTACACAATAAACTATTTTTAACTGCTTCCATTTCCAACTCTGAGGTGTCAGTGGGAATGTTCTGTGTATGGGTGCACCGAGACAAACTACAGAAAGAAATTGGATCTTAAGTCTTACTAAGCAGGCAATTGTCATTCTTAGTTTGTGATTTCCAATTTTTACTATTTTAATTGATTTTATAATATGTAAATACTATACATTTGAACTAATTTTTTAAAATAATAAAATGCCATTTTTATCTTTTTCGTGATATAACATTCTATTTTAAAACAGGGTATAACTCATATAAAACATTTCTAATCCACACTCTAAAAACATTGTAGTGGAAGGCCCTGTCTCTCCCACAGTGAAGCTGGAACAGCCTGTCCTGGCAGAGAAAAGGGGGTCAGAAGTTACCATCACATAAAGTTGTCAGCAAACTTTAAGGGCAGACATTGCTTTTACATCAGATGCTAACATTGGTAGCATTTCTCAACGTACCTTTTTGATCCATTTCTCTAATACGAACTTCTGGATCCCAGCAATTCTCTCGCACCACTCTGAAGACCTTCCCATCTTTCAACAACTTTGCTTCTCCCTGGGGCAGAAAACCCACATTACTAAAATGCGACCTAAGCCCACTTGGACTAGTCTTTCCTCATGCGCTTTAGAACCTGTTTCTTCCCTAATATTTGAAAAGATTTGTACTTAATCCTTGTGGAAGTAGAAATCAGTAATTTAACAAAAATCAGGTTTCCTTCCTCATGCTTTTCTTTGGCCTGGAGTTGAAGGGGTGTGCTCTGTGGGTGTCAATGGCTGGACACAGAGATAGTAAGGTTGAGGTTATCTTTCTTTGGGCTGCATGACTGAGAATGGCTGATCACCTTGCTGATCTGAACCCCTGGCTACTAGATACAAGACGATGGCCCGGCGTCTGGAAAATGGTAGTTCCATAACATTTAGAATTGAAAAGAACCTTTGAGATAGACCACCTAGTCCAACCCTCTCATTTTATGAAGAAGCAGTGTATGGATAATGGGAGTATGTGATCTGTCAAACAGAGCAGGGCCCACTAGTGTCAACACCTGTGGGAGGAGGTGGGCAAAGAAGTCAGTCTGGTAGCATGCACAAAATTTGGTACTGAGCTACTTCTTCCACTAGGCATCATGCTTGCCTGGGTACTCTGCAATAATTTTTATACATTTTAAATGACAAAAATGGCATGTATTTATGCTGTACAACATTATCTTTTGATATATGTGTGCATTGTGGAATGGCTAAATCAAGCTAATTAACATGCCCATTACTTCACATACTTATATTTTTTTGAGGTGATGACACTTAAAATCTATTCTTTTAGCAATTTTCAGGTATACAGTACATTGTTATTAACTGTAGTTACCATATTGTGCAATAGATATGAACTTATTCGTCCTGTCTAACTGAAATTTCATATCCTCTGACCTTCTCAATTTCTCCCCACCCCTTCAGCCCGTGGTAACCACCATTTCGCTTGATGCTTCTATGAGTTAGACTTTTTTAGATTCCACATATAAGTGCAGTATTTGTCTTTCTATGTCTGGCTTATTTCACTTAATATAATGTCCTTTAGTGTTACTCATGTTGTTGTAAATGACAGAATTTCCTTTTTATAAAGGTTCAATAGTATTCCATTATGTATATATGCCACATTTTCCTTATCCATTCATCCACTGATGGACACTTAGATTGATTCCATATCTTGGCTATTTTGAATGATGCTACATTGAACATGGGAATGCAGATACCTCTTCAACATACTGGTTTCATTTCCTTTGCATATATAGCCAGAAGTAGAATTGCTGGATCATATAGTATTTCTATTTTTAATTTTTTTCAGGAAAACATATGATCATATCAATAGATACAGGAAAAAAATGACATATTTGTGTGTCCTTTTATGACTTAAAAAACCCTCAATAAATTAGGTATAGAAGGAATAAAGCTGTGGGATTGCCATACATGAACTTTCTTGTTTATCAACACAATAAAGTCTATGTATGGCAATCCCACAGCTAACATCATACTCAATGGTGAAAATGATGAAAAGTTGAAAACTTTTTCTCTAAGATCAGGAACATGACAAGGGGGCTCACCTTTGCCACTTCTACTCAACATCATAAAGGAAGTTCTAGCCAGAGCAATTAAGTAAGAAAAATGAATAAAAATCATCTAAATCAGAATGAAAGAAGTTAAATTGTTTCTGTTTGCAGACAACGTGGTTTTATATATAGAAAACCCTAAATATTCCACCAAAAAACTTTTAAACTAATAAATTGGGTAAAGTTGCAGAATACAAAATTAATATTTAAAAGCCCATAGCATTTCTATATGCTAACAGTCTGCAAAAGATATCAGGCAATCCCATTATTTATTTATTTATTTCTCAAGACAGAGTCTTGTTCTGTTGCCCAGACTGGAGTGCAGTGGTATGATCTCGGCTCACTGCAGCCTCTGCCTCCTGGGTTCAAGCTATTCTCTTGCCTTGGCCTCCCAAGTAGCTGGGATTACAGACATGCGCCACCATGCCTGGCCAATTTTTGTGTTTTTAGTAGAGATGGGTTTCATCATGTTGGCCAGGCTATTCTTGAACTTCTGATCTCATGATCTGCCGACCTCGGCTTCCCAAAGTGCTGGGATTATAGGCTTGAGCCACTGCTCCCAGCCTCAGGCAATCCCATTTAAAATAGTATTTAAAAATACTTAGGAATGAATCGAACCAAAAAGGTGAAAGATCTGAAAACTGTAATACATTGATGAAAAAATTAAAGAAGACACAAACAAATGGAAAAACATGTTCATGGATTGAAAAATTGATATTGTTTAAATGTCCATATTACTCAAAACAATCTATAGATTTGATAAAATACCTCCCAAAATTCCAATGACATTTTTACAGAAATAGAAAAAAAACCCCATAAATTTCATGTAAGCCGTAAAAGATCTCAAATAGTCAAGGCAATTTGGAGCAAACAGAACAAAGCTGGAGAAACTAAAAACCTTTTGCACAGCAAAGGAAACAACAGAGTAGAGAGACAGTTTATGGAACAGTAGAAAATATTTGTGAACCATATATCTGATAAGGAGTTACTATCCAAACTACGTAAGGAACTTAAAGAACTCAATGGCAAGAAAACACATAACTGGGTGAAGAAATGGGCAAAGGACCTGAAATAGACATACAAATGGCCAACAGGTATATGAAAAAATGCTTGACTTCACTAATCATTGAGAAATGAGATATCATCTCATGCTTGTTAGGGTGGCTGTTATCAAAAAGACAAAATATAATAAGTGTTGACAAGGATGTGGAGAAAAGGGAACCCTTGTATACTCTTACTTGGTAACTGTTACAGCCATTACGGAACACACAACTTTTTAACACTCAGAGCAGGGGGCCAAACTAAATGGTTGTGCAGAACATGGCAGTGGCACCTACGTTGGGCCTCCAGTTTGTGATTCCTAAAGAAAAGGGAAAGAACTAGGGCAGGCCCTAGAAATAAAATTGCCTGAATTCAAATTCTTATTCTGCCACTTACTGTGTGATCTTGAGCGAGTTAAACAATATCTTCAAGCTTCCATTTGTTTATCTTTAAAATAGGGATGATAATGACTTACCTTAAAAAATTAATGTGACTTACATTAAAGAGATCATGTGAGCATGAAATAAGATAATCCATATAAAGCACTTAGTGGAGTAACTAACACATAGGTGTTAGTTATTATGATTATTTGTTATTAATGTTGTATAGCTAATTAGGAGCTAGACAGTGTTCCTCTGCTTTGAGGGCACACCACCTTTGGTGGTGCTTCAGGGCCTCAAGGTTACCTTTGGACCCCATAGAATGTCCATGTGGGTGTGCGATGATCAAAGGCTTTGAACTGTGCTTGGTGGAGTCCACTGCCCTCCTCCTCCTCCTCCTCCTCCTCTTGGCTTGATCATGAGTTGCATCCAAGCCTTCATCTTTCTACTCCATAGACAAGACCTTCCCCATCTCCTGCATGAAGAAGGCTGGACACTTTTCACCTTTAAGTGCTGTAGCCTGTTCACTTTGCACATATATGAGGAAGACCTCAGATCCACATTTTATTTCTCAGGGATGGGGAACAGGTCAGTGAGCAAGTTGACATGTGTAATTGTGACAGGTGTCCACACACTAGCAGAGGTGGGTCTCTGACATCATGACACCAAGACTGATGTGCTTCAGCTCCAATCCTCTGTTTACCATGCCAGCATCTGAACCACTTCCTAGGTTGGGGAATCTCCTGCAGGAGTCTTGGTGGAGGCAGGGCCTAGCCTCCCTCTGCAGAAGGCCAAATACTTGCTCTCCCTGCCCCAAGCTTGGCTAATCAATGCTTGGTTTTGCGTTAAGTGATGCAAAAAAACCAGGAAGAGTTGGATTTATTCTGCCAGTGATTCCAGTAGTGGCCAGGTACAGTGGCTATTGGCAGTGGTGTTGGGGGCAGTATCCAGGTGGGGCAGCGGCCTCCTAGCCAGGCTGTTCCTGTGGTGTTGCCTTGGCTGTGACTTCAACCATGGGAATTCCCTGAGTTTCTGCAAGTTTTCTGAGCTTGATTCCACAGATACTTTGTAATTCTTGAGGGTCTTAAAATATTTCAACAAATATCTTTTCTTCTTACACTAATGATTGTTGGTTTCTGTTGCCTGCAAGCAAGAGTCCTGACTGATGATGATTGCACAAATAGGACATAGGAACACATGTCTCTTCATTTGGCGAAGAGGGGAGAGGAGAGGGGTGATGGTGAAAAAAAAAAGTTAAGAAACAAACTTTGATTTGTCAAATTGGAGCTTTTATTTATTTTTGCTCCTTGCTGGGAAAGCTTAATCACTATAAAAATACCCAGTATAGCAGAGTGCCAAAGAGCACAGTCTTTGCATTCAGACAGCTCTGGGTTTAAATCTCATTAAATTACTTACTAGCAGCGCTGACTAGTGAAGTTGTGGGCCTTCTAAATTTAAGCCTCACTTTTTCTATCTGTAAAATGTGGATCATTATACTTGTCATGCTTGTGGCCATCCAACGTCCTTGGAACACATCCTATGTGTGAAGAAATGTTCACAATTATACTTTCCGCTTTCTTGAGGTAGAATCCAAAATATGCTTTCCCAGTCTCCCTTGTAACAGGGCACTGGCATGTGCTCTGGGCTTTGCCAATTATATGCACCCACCCGTGCATTTAACTTTGACCTGGAAGTGAGCAATGTGAGGAAGTAGGGACTATGCAGAGTCCACCTGTAGACAGGGGTGTTGTCTAAGATGTTGAACATGACTGGAGCAGCAGAGGCAAAGCTTCTAGTCTCCAGCCTTGGCAGCATTAGCTGAGCCTCCTCTCCATGACTGGGAGTGGCAACACTTGCATCCTTGCTGAAGCAGCTCACCAGGTGAATGTGGGCGTTGATCATGTTAGCACAGCCCTCAGAGCTTGATCTCTGGCCCTCACAGGAACTCCGTGAACGAGCTAGAGTGAATTCTGTTGTTTGCAATTAAGAACACTGAGTGATAAAGAAGATTCAATTATAGAATGTAAAGAACTTAGCACCAGGCCAGAGAGCACGCTCAATAAATAACAGCCAGATTTTACCTCGTATTATCAACCGCAAGGGAGGAAATTGGGTTTCTGTGGGAGATACCTGAGTACGTTTTGATTTCAAACAAAGCAGAGTATCTTAAAGCTGCGATAGATTATTTAGTTCAGCCCTTGCATTTTACTAATAAGTCCACAAGGTGCAGTGACTTCTCCAAGGCCATATGCTTAGTTGGCATAGAGCCCCGGTTTATGAAGCCATTTTCCATCTCACAAGGCTGATATTTGGTGATTGGTGTCTATGTAGTAGGCTAAAGTTAATTACTGTAATTTCCTAAAGAGTTTGATCTTTTAGGGGCAGGGAGTGCCTCTCATTACATAGCAGGGAAAGCAGACTCACCAAACTTCGCTTTTTCACATCCTTCATGCTAGATCCATGGTAAGAAAAATGAACTGTAGCAAGTCGGTAGAACTCCTTCTGAGTAAAAATCACTGCAGAGCAGCAGAGCCCCTATGATAAGCCCCCAATTCTCATTGCTTTTTTTTTTTTTTTTTTTTCAGCCGGAATTTTGAGAGCTGACAGCCATTGTAAGGAGTCAGTCCCTGATCTCTGTTGCTTTACATTCAGGTAAGGCTGTGGATTTGCCTCAGGGGTCAGCACTTGTTGCTGGAGGAGGAAACAGGGATTTCTTGGGTCCTGTTTTTTAACCTTGACCTCAGCATTAACCAAGATCTTAAACTAAACTAATAACCAAGTAATGGGAGCAAGCTGCTTTAATTTACACAACCAGAGCCCAGTCTCGTTTTTTCCTAAACTCTCAAAAGAGAATCAAGTTGTTTTTTTTTTTATAAAGAATTCCTCCATGCAACTATTACTATCCAGATAACACACTTTAAATACACCTTTTATATTTTTAAAGCCAGAACTTCATCTTGGAGTCTGATTCCTAGGGAACCTAACCTGTGAACTTCTGACTTTTGAGTTCTAATTCTAATACTATCCACAAACAAGCCCAAATATGGCTGGTATTTCAAATATCTGATACTGCATATATCATCAGACATGTATTTTCTTGTCTTCCTTTTTTTTTTTTTTTTTTTAATTGAGATGGAGTCTCTCTCTGTCACCCAGGCTGGAGTGCAGTGATGCGATCTCGTCTTACTGCAATCTCCATCTCCTGGGTTCAAGCGATTCTTCCACCTCAGCCTCCCGAGTAGCTGGGATTACAGGTGCCCACCACCACACCTGACTTATTTTTGTATTTTTAGTAGAGATGGGGTTTTGCCGTGATGGTCAAGCTGGTCTTGAACTCCTGGCCTCAAGTGATCTGCCCTCCTATGCCTCCCAAAGTGCTGGGATTACAGGAGTGAGCCACTCCATCTCAGATCTCGCCACTGCCCCACTTAAAACTCTTGAATGGATTCCCTTTCCCTGAAGGTAAAATCCAAACTCCTTAACCTGGCCTGCAAGGCCCTACATGATCTAACCCCTGCCTACCTCTGTAAAACTTCCTCACGTTTTCACCTTTATAAATAGTCTCTGTATGAACTCTTCTCGAAATAGTCTAATTTAAGTGTCCATTTGTTTTCTATTTGGAACCCGATTCATCTAGCTTTAAAAACCAGACCTATCACATACTAATAATACTCTGTCATTTTTAAAGGTGCATTCATATTTAAGTAAAACCATAGGAGAAGATCTGGGAAGATATCCACCAAACTGTTAATAGGAATTCCTTTGAGAAGATATACAAGTGACTAACAAACATGAAAAAATGCTCCACATCACCGATCGTCAGAGAAATGCAAATCAAAACCACAGTGAGATACCATTTCACACCAGTCAGAATAGCCATTATTAAAAAGTCAGAAAATAACAGATGCCGGTGAGGCTGTAGACAAAAGGGAATGTGGGCCAGGCGCAGTGGTTCACGCCTATAATCCCAGCACTCTGGGAGGTCAAGGTGGGTGAATCACCTGAGGTCAGGAATTTGAGACTAGCCTGGCCAACATGGTGAAACCCCCATCTCTACTAAAAATACAAAAATTAGGTGTGGTGGCACATGCCTGTAGTCCCAGCTACTTGGGAGGCTGAGGCAGGAGAATCGCTTGAACCTGGGAGGCGGAGGTTGTGGTGAGTTGAGATCATGCCACTGCACTGCAGCCTGGACGAGAGTGAAACTCTGTCTCAAAAAAAAAAAAAAAAAAAAAAAAAAAAAGAAAAGAAAAGAAAAGGGAATGCTCCTACACTGTTGGTAGGAGTGTAAATTAGTTCAGCCACTGTGGAAAGCAGTTTGGAGATTTCTCAAAGAACTTAAAATTGCCATTCAACCTAGCAATCCTATTACTGGGTATATATATAGAGGAATATAAATTGTTCTGCCAAAAAGACACATGCACCTGTATGTTCATCATAGCACTGTTCACGATAGCAAAGACATGGAATCAACCTAGGTGCCCATAACAATGAACTGGATAAAGAAATGTAGTATTCCATGTATGTTACATATGCACCATGGAATACTATGCAGCCATAAAAATAAAGTCATAGCCTTGTAGCAACACAAATGCACCTGGAGGCCATTGTCCTAATCAGATTAACACAGGAACAGAACCAAATACTGCATGTTCTCACTTAGAAATGGAAGCTAAACATTGGGTTTACGTGGACATAACGATGACAACTATAGACACTAGGGACTATCAGAGGGGGCTGGGAGGGAGGGGACAAGGCCTGAGAAACTGATCATTTCCGATGGTTACTATGCTCACCACCTGGGTGACGGGATCAATCGTACCCCTAAACCTCAGCATCACTCAATATACCCAGATAACAAACCTGCATATGTATCCTCTGAACTTAAAATAAAAGTTGAAATTATTTTTTAAAAAAGTACTTTTGAGAACAGGGAGTGCTGGTCCAAGAGAATTGTAGCTTTATCTCTAATGGCTTGAATCTAAAAAGGAGCATTTAGTCAAATATTACTTACATAATAATAATAATAAATTATTCTTAATAATGAAAACATCTGAAAGTATTGGATGAGATCAATGGCTTTCAGCCAGTTTTGGCTGTGACCCCACATTAAGAAATCTGTTTTTCGGCCGGGTGCGTTGGCTTACGCCTGTAATCCTAGCACTTCGGGGGACTGAGGCAGGTGGATCACCTGAGGTCAGGAGTTAGAGACCAGCCTGACCAACATGGTGAAACCCCGTCTCTATTAAAAATACAAAATTAGCCAGGCGTGGTGACGCATGCCTGTAATCCCAGCTACTTGGAAGGCTGAGGCAGGAGAATCACTTGAATCCGGGAGATGGAGTTTGCAGTGAGCCAAGATGGCGCCGTTGCACTCCATCCTGGGCAATAAGAGCGAAACTCCATCTCAAAAAAAAAAGAGAAAAAGCTATTTTTCATTGTCATTGAGAATACCCATATATATCTATTTGTACAGACACAAACTGAGACAGAAGTTTTATGAAACAATATTTATTTTTGCCATAAGCAGTGCATTCTGCTATTTTGTTTTACAATCTATTTCATTTTTAAAGGGGTTAGTACTTTGACATATGAATTTGGGGTGGGGGAACACAAATATAGTCCATAAGAGTGAGGGGTCGTGGTCCATAAGAGTGAGGGGTCTGACAATTATGTATGTAAAAATCCTAAGTGTGATGTAAATGTTTGTGTGTGTGTGTGTTCCCAAGGCCCTGGGACGAACTCATTGTGTGTTTCTAGATGCTGTTGACCTACAGCTTTGAAGCAGGCCCGTGTCTACCCTCCTGGGTCGGAGGCTTTAAAATGCTCCCAGGTGTCTTTGCCATCAGGGCACGATTCTGCCCCCACCCCATGCAGCTCCTGGCAGGTTGTCATACAAACTAAGGACTGGCCTGCTACTTATACTTTAATAAATATTCAATCAAAAGACAAATAATGTTTTTCAGTTCTGAGCAAGGCTTTATCGTGACAAATGACTACCCCTCAATTTGTTTGGGGAACACTGAAAAACCAAGAGTTAAGAAGAGAAATGGGACAAACTAGAGAAATGTTTTGGAAAGATGTTTGAGAGAACAGGAATCTCCAGGTAAGCCAATCCTGGGGGCAGAAAATATTTCTTCACTAGAGGAACATAGGAGAGTAAGAATTATTTTCAAATCCCAAATCCTGGATTTTCTCATTGCTCTCAGCCTGATTTGTGTAATTGCATACATTTGCATATCATTTACATTTGCATATTGTTTTCGGTGGACTCGAATTCCTGACAACTGTAATTATGAAAAATACAGACTGAGTCTGTTTTGGTTTGCTTTGTTTTGTTTTTGAGAGAGAGGGAGTGTGTTACTCTTTTGTCCTATTTGATTACCATTGTATCAAATTTTGCTGGAAATAAATAAGTCAGTAGATGTGACTGGAAAATATTTCCTTTTTGTTTTCTTTTGGAGATTTGGCTACTAAGTTTATGAAATTTCTTGGTATTAAAACAAAATGAAATGAAGGCCATTCAAATCCACTATTGAAGGACAAACTGAAGACAGGGACATGGAGTAAGAAAAAATCGCAGCTCCCTGTCCCTGCAGCTGGGGCTTCCTAGCTGCTTTGCCGTCAGCTCCATTCATATCATACTTTCCATCGGAGAGACTTGAGGCCAGCTTAGAGCATCAGACCCTGGTCTAGAAACTAGCATTTTGAATGGGAGAAGTGAAGCACAGTGTTTGAATTGGGACTTAGTGGACACACTGAAGAAGATGAGGATGAACTGCCTCAGAGACAGTGATGTTTAAAACTCTTGAAAACCTAGGCAATACCATTCAGGACATAGGCATGGGCAAAGACTTCATGACTAAAACACCAGAAGCAATGGTAACAAAAGCCAAAATTGACAAATGGGATCTAATTAAGCTAAAGAGTTTCTGCACAGCAAAATAAATGATTATCAGAGTGAATAGGCGACCCACAGAATGGGAGGAAACTTTTGCAATCTATCCATCTGACAAAGGGCTAATGTCCAAAATCTATAGGGAACTTTAACAAATTTACAAGAAAAAAACAACCCCATCAAAAAGTGGGCAAAGGATATGAACAGACACTTCTCAAAAGAAGACATTTATGTGCCTGACAAACATGAAAAGAAGCTCATCATCACTGGTCATTAGAGAAACGCAAATCAAAACCACAATGAGATATCATCTCACAATGAGATACCATTCTAACTAATGATAGCCAGTTAGAATGGTGATCATTAAAAAGTCTGGAAACAACAGATGCTGGCGAGGATGTGGAGAAATAGGAATGCTTTTATACTGTTAGTGGGAGTGTGAGTTAGTTCAACCATTGTGGAAGACAGTGTGGTGATTCCTCAAGGATCTAGAACCAGAAATACCATTTGACTCAGCAATCCCATTACTGGGTATATACCCAAAGGATTATAAATTATTCTACTATAAAGACACATGCACACGTATGTTTACTGCAGCACTATTCACACTAGCAAAGACTTGGAACCAACCCAAATGCCCATCGATGATAGACTGGATAAAGAAAATGTGGCCAGCTGGGTGCAATGGCTCACGCCTGTAATCCCAGCACTTTGGAAGGCCGAGGTGGGCGGATCACCTGAGGTTGGGAGCTCGAGACCCTCCTGACCAACATGGAGAAACCCTGTCTCTACTAAAAACACAAAATTAGCTGGGCCTGGTGGTACATGCCTGTAATCCCAGCTACTCAGGAGCCTGAGGCAGGAGAATCGCTTGAACCTGAGAAGCAGAGGTTGCGGTGAGCCGAGATTGTGCCATTGCACTCCAGCCTGTGTGACAAGAGCGAAACTCCATCTCAAAAAAAAAAAAAAAAAAAAATAAATGAGCGGTGGCACATATACACCATGGAATACTATGCAGCCATAAAAAAGGATGAGTTCATGTCCTTTGCAGGGACATGGATGAAGCTGGAAACCATTCTCAGCAAACTAACACAGGAACAGAAAACCAAACACTGCATGTTCTCTCTCATAAGTGGGAGTTGAACAATGAGAACACATGGACACAGGGAGGGAAACGTCACACAATGGGGCCTGTCAGGGGGTAGGGGGCTAGGAGAGGGATAGCATTAGGAGAAATACCTAATGTAGACGACGGGTTGATGGGTGCAGTGAACCACAAATCTGCATATTTGGCACATGGATCCCATAACTTAAAGTGTGTGTGTGTGTGTGTGTGTGTGTGTGTGTATCCCAAAAAACTCTTCAGTGGTTTCCCACTGTCTTCAGGATCAAGTTCAAAGCCCTAAGCTCATTTCGGGGCCTAAACCCCTAAATCCTTCATGACCCTGTCTAATGAGGTTTCTGGCTTCCTCTCCATCTTCTTACTGCTTCTTCGCTCTCCCTACTCTTGTCTGCATCTATGTGTTCTCCACAGAGCAACCAAAGTGGTCTTTTAAAGCCACTAAGACCCTCTGAAGAATTTGCATTATTTTGAGAATGCAGTCCAGACTCTTTAGCATGCCCTGCAAGTCCCCATGTGTCCAGGCCTCTGCCTACCTTGCCAGCCCATTTCCTACTGTCTCCCCCTTTCACTGCATTTCAGCCACATTGCCATCCTTTCTGTTCCTTGAACACATAAACTCTTTACCAGTTGGTGGCCTTTGCAACTGCTGTTCCCCCAGCCGGGAACACTTTTCCAAGTGTTCCCTTCTCATCTTCAGAGCCTTTGCCAGGTCACTGACCAGCCAGCCTCTTGCTCTCTATCACATCACTGCTTTATATTCCATTCTCTGAATTGATCATGTTGACTCGTGACCCCTAGAATCTGAGCACCATCAGAGCAGGGACTATGTCTGTCTTGTCCACAAGCATATTCCCAGTGTCTAGGTTGGTGGGCCTGACACAAAACGAGTTTCAATAAAAAGTAGTGAGTCAGTGAATGAACGTGCGAGAGCCAGTGGTTCTCAAACTTGAATGAGCTACTTTGGGAGGCTGAAGTGGGAGGACCACTTGAGGCCGGAGTTTGAGGTCAGCCTGGGCAACATAGTGAGACCCCCGGTCTAAAAAATAAAAAAGTAGTTAGCTGGACATGGTGGTGTGCACCTGTAGTCTCAGCTACTTGGGAAGCTGAGGTGGGAGGATCACTTAAGCCTCAGAGTTGGAGGCTGTGAGTGAGCTGTGATTGTATCACTACCCTCCAGCTGGGCAATAGAGCGAGATCCTGTCTTAAAAAAAATTACTAATTAAAAAAACCCTTGACTCTGCATCAGAATCACCAGGAGGCTTGTTAAAACAAGTTGCTTGCCCTACCTCTAGAGTTCTGATTTGGTAGGACTCGTGCAGGGCTTGAGAATTTGCATTTCTCCCAAGTTCCCAGGTGATGGTGAACCTGCTGGTTGTGGGACCACAGTTTGAGAAATGCTGGTACCATCCATAGCTGAGTGCTTCTGAGCTCACATATGTTTAATATTTCATGCCTTTGTTCCCTTTCTTTTTTCCTAGAACATGGTTTCCTCATTCCCTGGGCAAGCCTCCCACCTGCTTTAAGATGTGGGATGGGCATCATTTCCTTCAGAAGGCCTTCTCTGATCCTTGGTGCCCAAATCTCTGCCCCTTAGAACCTGATGTAAAGGGAGTCCTAACCTTTCCATGCTGCATTGGGTTAACTCTGCACATTAACTGGATTTCCAGACCACAAGTCCTCCAGAGCTTGCATTGGTCATGTCTGTATGTCAGCTGGAAGCGCAAAAATATTACCTCTGAACTTGAAGAGGACGTATGATGCCTCTGAAAATGAAATCAGACCCATACCCTGGGCAGATCTGGACTCCCAGCTCACTCTTGGGCCTCATTATTTCTACAGGGCTTTGCCCACAGCCGCCTTCTTTTTGCTTTTTCCTCTTACCGAACTCAACCCTTAATAACACTGTCTTCTCTCCTTTGTCTCCATTGTTTATTTTTTCCAGCTTATGCTCAAACCTAACTGTCCCATTTATTTGGTCAGCCTTAATGTACTGTAATAACTGGTAGCACTAGGTCACTTCCTTGAGGCAGAGCAATAAATGCTGAAATTGGTTGGTGGGGCGGGGGGAGGAGTGAGAGAGAGAGAGACTTTTTGATGGGTTCTCAAATTCCAATTTTATCTTCCTAAATACTACTCTTTGAAGTCACCTCCATTTTTCCCAATTATTCTGAGAAATCTCAGTGCTATTCCCTTGCCTACAACAAAGCTAATACACGGGCAGAAGAGTGGGGTTCCCTGGAGGCCCAGCCTGCAGTGAGGTATCCCATGGCTTAGCTGTCCCTGAGTCCTACTGATGTTCATTCTTTGGAAGAAACTCACCTTGCTGTGGTGTTGGAGCTGCACCCAGCCTTCATAGCCAAACCTCTGTAGTGGGGAAAAGCACAGTTAGAGTCAAAGAGCAAAGACCAGGCTGCAATCAAGGGGCATGCTTAGCGCAGAGGATCCTGAGCTCCACCTTTCAAGCATTGCCTTCCCATTTCCCCCATACCCATGTATCGCCTATTTAGTATTTACAATTAAATTCACTTACATTTTTCCTTCAATATATTTACACAAGAAGAAAATTCTGTTATCTCAGCAGTGCTGCTTTTATCTTTTCCCCTAATGCAGCTTGAATTTTTTAAATGAAGATTAACATGAAAAAATATTGTTCATGTACCACCTAAAATCATGTCACAGGTTACCAGGCGTACATCACCCCTAAGGACCACTCTTTAGGAAATACACTGCTTTTCAAACTCTGCGTTGCAATCCATGAGTAGATTGTGATATCAGTTTAGTGGATAGGGACTCAAACATTTTAAAACAGGAAATCATGTATGTAGCAGATACTGTTGGTGTCCCGCTCGTATCCCTTCGCTTTGACACTTCTGTGCATACCAGCCCACCTCTATCAGCCAGCGCCTGCATTTCATTGGCTGAGGGCTTTCCCTGGGAACCTGCTTTGATCAAGCCAACCTAGCAGGTAAGAAGTACTATGAAATTAGCTCCCTGCATCCCCTCGGCCCAACAGCCCTTAACAGATAATTGAGGGAGTTGTATATACATACACTGAACACACCGTACCCTACCCCTCGGTCTGGATAACGCAGAGATGAGGCACACATTTTGCTCTGGAATACAAACCTTTCACTGGCTGCCCCATTTTCCCTGTCTCACTTCCTCACTCTACTGGTGTTTCCTGGGATCACCTCCAAAGCAAACTACTTGTATCTGAATCCTTGTCTCAGGGTCTGCTTCTTGGAAAACATAGAGTAAAGGAATGGAAAGGAATAGAATAAATTAGAATGTCTCCCATGTAGTAAGTAATGGTTTCATAACATTTTTTCTTCCCATTTAGTGTATATAAATGTTTGTACTGAGTCACAACGTAAAATAGATTTCCGCCTGGGAATCATGCATAGAAACTGTGGAAAGCCACCGACTGAAAACATAGGTAAGTATGACTCAAATAACTACTGGCTTTATCATATATCATACTGCATCATATCATTATTCCTTCTTCACGCTTTCATGGAATCCCATCTGTGACAAGTCTTACTAGGAAAGAGAAAAGGGAAGGACAGTTCCAGCCCATGTGGAGCACAGTCTTGGGAGGTTAAGGCTGGGGGAGGCAAGGAATCAAAGGGCCACATCATGGCATGTGAGACGCACTGTGACCATGAGGCACAGGTGCTCTGGGGGCCTTGGGGAGGGAGCTGACTTCACACCTTGGGCTGCGGTATTGGGAGGGACATTGAAAAGGTAGTCCTGGGGTCAGATTGGAGAGGATCTTCTAGTGTTCAGATTTCCACGCTTCCTGCATGGCTGTCACAGTGTGGTGTCAGAGGGAAGGAATGGAGGCAGGAGATAGCTACATGAGGGAGCTCCTTAACGACTCTGAGTTGGTCAGCGGTGATGGGTCAGCAAGTAAAGCAAGCTGAACATCAGCTCAACCTCTCGTTTGTTGTGGCTGGATGAGGCCAGGGTACAGCAGTTGATTCTCATGCCGCAGTGCAGGGAAGTTGTCTGTAGGGAGTCAGGTCTCGGTGGACCCCTTTGTTAGCTCCCTTCACCTCTAGACCGAGGGGAACGTCTGGGCCTGGGCCACAGTGCAGCATAGAGGTGTTTGTGTCTCTGCGTCTGTGCCTGGGGTCTGCCTCAACAGCTTCGTAAGTTTTGGATTAATTCTATACCAGTCTTACTCCACCCAGGTAAAAGGTCTGTTCTTGAGTCCTAGCCCCAAATAATCATATTACCTTTAGAAATCTATCTTCTGTTTCCTCCCCAATGACATCAGCAGACTTGATTTTGGAGGCTGGGCAGGCAAGGGAGACTGTCGGCTGAAACTCAGCTTCTCCTCCCTGCACCCAGCCTCTCCTTTGCTGGTGCCCCCAACCCCTGCTCTTGCCCTTCATGCATTCAATACCTTTGTACTTTTTCCTTCTTTTCCCCTGGAAAAAGCTGCCAAGAGAGATATGTTGGGGGCGGGGGATGGAATATGACCTTAATCAGTTACACTTTAGAGTAAACTTAAGACTGTGCTCTTAAACTGGAAATTTGCCATTGAACTTTTATCCTTCATGTAGAAGAAAGGGTTTTATTTCCTTCTTTCTCTACTGCCGGCTTTCTCCCCCTTCTTCCTCACTCTCTTTCTTTGTTACTTTTTCATAATTCTGTAAGGAACTCTAACCCATATGTTACCAGGTAGAGGAGTATTCCATTTGGGGAAGAGCAGGGAGGTAGGAAAGGCAAAGCTGAGGGATCCTCCCACATGCAACAAGTCACTTACAAGGCACTTGACTTTGTTGGCGTGAAATGTCTCCAAGTCACTGTTTCCCTATGTGTATTAATAAAAATGAGGCTAACAGGAGTGGCTGGGACATAAGTTTTCAGGGGAATTAGGTGAGATAGTGCATATAAAGCTGCTGACACCAGGCCTGGCCAGTGGACAGGGCTTCATTCATTCCTGCTAACAGTGATGCTGATGGTGATGGTGGTGATGGTGGGGGCACTAATTGCATGGTGGAGGGAGTGAGGTGGTTGTAGTGGTGTGGCTGAAGTAGTGAATGTGGTGGCAGTGGTGGTACCCATGATGGCTGATGGTGATGGTGGTGGCAGTGACAGCCGTGGTGATAGTAGCAGTGGCGATGGTGGTCGGGGTGGCAGTAGTGGTGACAGTCTTATTCCAACCCCAAATAGAATACCCTGGGGTCAGAACTAAGGAGAGCCGTGAAGAAAGGAGCCCTTTGCCCCTCTGTGTCCCTCCCTCCATTTCCTGGAAAGTATAAAGTGCCAATTTACCTCACAGGCCCCTTGCAAAGACCCAACTTATTCAGGGCAGTTTTATTCTTCTCCAGGTCTGTGCTTGACGTAGACCCTCAGTTCTCATCCCAGGTTGAGCTGAGCCTGGGGTCTAAAATTTATGACCCTGGGAGTGGTTTTGGTCCGAGCATATGCCCCAGGAAGCATCTAAAATCTGAAAGTGTTTGACAATAACCAGTGTCTCGTGGGCATTTATGAGCATGCCAAATAAAAAGCAAATTGAAAACATTCCAGGAAATTCAGTTTTATATACAAGAGATATGTTTCTGAAATGCACATGTATGAATCAAAGTGGATGAACTGGATGACTTTGTTAATGTCTTGAGGACATCACACCTCCATGAGGTGAATAATGAGCCTCCTGGGTGATGAAACCAGATATTTATCTCCTCAGAAGGATTTTCTAAAAATCAAATGATGTCTAGGATTTTGTCTTCTAAAGCCTTGTACTGATCAAGTGCAATTGCTAACAAAAGAAGGTGTAAGTATATGATTTTAAAATTGGAGGTCAGAATTTTTTGCTCCATTTATAATTAGAAGAATCTTTGCAAGCCCTACTATTGGGCAGACAGTAGGCTGTCAGTAAAGCCTTGCTGGAGGAAAAAGCTGAAACTGTATCATCCTCATTGTTGCTGTGAATAATGCATTGCAGATCAACCTGAAACATCTTTCGCCACGGTTTCTTGGGCCCCACCTCCTGTTTGTGACAGCAGAGAGTGTGGGTCCTCATTCATCAGAAACAATTTGATCAAGTATCCCTGAATCCACTGTCTTTATACTTCAGATACATATTTTTTTCAAGGATCCTACTTGTAACTCTGACTCAAATTATTATTAGCAAGTGAAAATGAAAAGATTTCTCAAATCCCAGCCCTTTGTCATCATTAGTTAACCATCACTTCAGGCATGTTGATTCTACTTTTCTATCTCTTCATTGTATAAGAAGGTCAAGGTTATTCCAGCAGCAGTACTCTCTCAGGCCAGTTTTCTCAGGGTGGATGTGGTGATGGAGAGGCTCTTGAGGGACTGTGGTGGCCCACACAGCTCTGGGATTCTAGGTTCATTTCTGAGTCTCAAGCATCTCATCTGTCAAGTGAATAGTATAAATCTTATCTGCATATTTTGCAAGGTTTATGTAAATTATTTCTCCCTCTGTCTCTCCCTAGAAGTACGATGTATTATAACTGTAACGATGAAAATGATGTAGATGGTGGTGATGAAGTGTCAGCTGTCTGTTTGCAGCATGTGAGACTACTACATAAGAAGAAACCTGGTTTGGAATGAAAAACCAAACATCATATGTTCTCACTCGTAAGTGGGAGCTAAGTTATGAGGATGCAAAGGCATAGGAATGATACGGTGGACTTTGGGGAGTCAGGGGGGAAGGGTGGGAAGGAGTGAGGGATAAAAGACTACAAATTGGGTGCAGTGTATACTGCTTGGGTGATGGGTGCACCAAAATCTCACAAATCACCACTAAAGAACTTACTCATATAACCATACACCACCTGTTCCCCAATAGCATATGGAAATAAAATAAATACATAAAAATAAAAAAAGAAGAAGAAACCTGGTTTATTGGGACAAAATTTCTCTCCCTCTTTAAAGCAATAGCTGATGATAGAAAGGAGAGGGAGTTTGGAAGCGGGGAAGTCCAAGATCTGGTGAGAACCGGCTTCCTGGTTCTAAGATGGTGCCTTCTTGCTGTGCCCTCACGTGGTAGAAGGGGTGAACAAGCTTCCTTGGGCTTACTTTATAAGGGCACTAATCTCATTCATGAGGGCTCTGCTGTCATGACCTAATCACCCCCAGAAGGCTGCATTTCCTAATACCATTGCCTTGTAGGCTAGGGTTTCACCTGAATTTTGGGGGAGATGTACATATTCAGACTGTAGCTCTCTAAGCCTCAAAATCCTGTCTGCACGAGGAGGTGTATGCCCTGGAGCTTGGAGCCCTGCTTGGAGGGTCGGTCATGCTAGCTAACTGTCTCAGTGGGATAGTACAGGTGGGCATTGTCCTCTGGAGACCACCATGGTGATTTCCAAAGCATTTCACGTGGATGTTCTTTCATACTCAAATAGGGAAAAAAGCTGTAACAGAGGAATTAGTGCCATTTGCTAGATATAGATTATGGCTATTTTAAAATACCAAATACTAAAATTTGGATTTTACCAAAACTCTTAGATTAGGGAGTATAATCTATTTCTTCTTGTGTTCACAAATTAATCAATGTGTTCATTGCATCATTCATCAGGCAAATACTCATAAACGAGGGGTAGAAAGTGGTGGGCACCACACGATGTAAGAAACTGCATGCAGCTTCTAAATAACGCAGATGCACTCTCACAAAGGAACTGGTGCATTCCCTTCATGAAATCATTAACATTGTGAAGCAGTTTACACTTCAGTAAACTCTGATGAGGACAACAGCACTCAGAACAGCATGTTCCTGTGTCAACATGTAGAGTCCTTTTAGGAAGAGCAGGTTGAGTGGTTTAGCTTTTATCCTTAGCTGTATATAGGATAGGCTTTCAAAGATCACTTGTATTTTTCAATCCACGGTTTCTACCACCCATCTTACCTAAGATACCAATGGACAAAGAAATACTTAAGATAAACATTCTTCTATTAGACAACTATAAGAAGAAAATAGTTTCATCTACCTGCACAAAGAACCACATTTAATTCAAGTTTGGGTTAATTCATTTTCCCTTACTTGGGATAAAAAAGATGAAACATTATTGGTGGGGTGAAAGTACTGGCAGAATGCTGAAGATTGAGTAAAACCTGACATTAAGCCTGAACAAGCCTCTAGCCAATTTTACATTTCCTTCATGTTCCTCACCTTCCTCTTTTTGTATTCATTCAAAAGTTCTTAATGACAAAAGGAAATTTCCATCTTTAGAGAAACACAAAGAATACTCTTTTAGTAGATGTCACTGTGCAAAAGTTTCATGTCATTTATTCTGGGGTTTTTTGATGTACCTACTTCCTAGTTCTTCATGACAAAGATTTATAGAATAAAGAACATCAAAAAGTAAAGGTTTCAGGCAGTGTCCTAAAATAGACTAAAAAAAAATTCACAAAGCTATCTCTTGGTGCTTCTAAAACTTATTTTAAACATTTTGAAAAGGAGATATATTTTAGAAGTCCTCGAAACCGATCACATTCCATTTTTAATAGTCTTTTATTTAAAATTGTAACTTTAAATTCTGTAGTTGGCATGTATCTTCCCAGCAGCTGAATATGTGATTTTAAAAAAGGTAAATCTGCTTTACTTAGATTGTCTGGAAATTTTAAAGAATGGTTCATTTGAGGGAACAAAGGGATTCTGAGAAAGCGCTTATTTCTTTAATCCAATGTTCTTTCAAAATAAATGTAAAAGACATTTTTAAAAACTAGGAAATCAGAACTACCAAATAATTTAAGTCCCCCCACCCCCCACCAAAGCAGATAAACTAGACATCTAATTCCATAAAGAAGAGAAAGGCAATGAGAAACCCTGGAGAAGTTTCAGAAATAATTCAGCAAATTAATTACCGTTACCTTTTTTAGATCTGGCCATTCTTTTGGTAGAATATGACTATGGATGTCAATTTTCATCTCCACAGGATCAGAGAAGCATGTAAGGAAAAAGTTTTGATATCAAGAGACCTTTTTGAAAACTGTGGAGTTAATTGATTTACTTAGTCCCTTTACAGCCACCTTTAGGCAGCAGTCAGTAGGCCTGCCCAACCCAGTCTAGGTCCATTAGAACTTCCTTATTAAAGTTCAAAGTTCTGTTTATTTGTTAACCAAGCTTTGGTTAACCAAGCTTTGTCAACCAAGCTTAGGGTCAACACACTTTGGTAGTCAGGACTCTTGGCACAAAACTTAAAAAAAAAAAAAAAAAAGAACTGTACTCAACTGTATGAGGTCAAAAGCACAGCAGGATGCTTTGACTTATAGCAGGCCAAAAATTGACTAATTTTTCATTTTAAATATTTTAACTTTTATAAAGCTATACATAGTTAGTAATTAAATAGTTTGTAGTTAAAAACAAAACCATGTAGAGGGCTTTTGCAGAAAAAGGATAGATCCCTGACTCACCTTTTCTTACCTTTCCTTGCACGATTCAGAAGCAGCTAATTTTTATGCTTTTGCTCTTTTTTCAGTTAGTTACTCCCATATCTTTAAATAATATTTAGCAGTTGACTTGTTCATGAAAATTTAGCATCTTGAAAAGTTGTCCGGAACTTTCGTGTTTACTTTTAAATCACAGAAAGGGTCCACTCTTCATGTATGTTTTGTCCTCCAGTGCCTTTGTCTTGGACTCATTCATTCATGCAGTTTTTTCCTTTTTTTGTTTTTTAATTTGAGACGCGGTCTCACTGTATTGCCCAGGCTGATATCGAATTCCTGGGCTCAAGTAATCCACCCACCTTGGCCTCCCAAAGTGCTGGGATTACAGGCAAGAGTCACGGCACCCAGCTTCATTCATGTATTTAACAAACACTTATGGAGAACTGCTATGTGCTGACGATGTAAAGTTGACTGAGAGATAAGATGATACATATCCTATAATAGATAATTGTACACAGCCTGAAGTGTAGGGAAAAGAAGATAGTAGCCATTTTCATTTAGCATTATCAGAGCAGTCAGGGAGGGCTTCCAATACAGCAGAAAGTGGGGCTTATGGTCATGCCTCTAAAGAGAGCCTGGAACAAAACAGCCCTTGATTGTTCTGTGTTTACCCTTTCCTCTTCCTGGACAGCTTAAAATGTTGAAGGGACCCCAGGTCCCCTGGCAAACCCTTAAACATACCTTGGATGTTCCCTTCACTTCAGACTCCACAATACATAAATTCAGTAGTCAAAAAGCTTCCTTCTGTAATTCAGCTAGATTCTGGATAAATTGTAACAGACAGCTTGAAAGAAAATAAAGGAAATCCTTGAAATCCATTTTTTTTTTTTTTTTTTTTTTAAAGTTCGGGAGCTGCAAAATGGCTGAATAGGAACAGCTCTAGCCTCCAGCTCCCAGTGTGAGTGACATAGAAGACGGGCGATTTCTGCATTTTCAACTGAGGTACCGGGTTCATCTCACTGGGGTGTGTTGGACAGTTGGTGCTGGTCCACTGGTGCAGCCCAACCAGCGAGAGCTGAAACAGGACTAGGCATCACCTCACCTGGGAAGCGCAGGGGGGAAGGGAATTCCTTTTCCTAGCCAAAGGAAATTGAGACACACAACACCTGGAAAATCAGGTAACTCCCACCCTAATACTGTGCTTTACCAAGGGCCTTAGCAAACAGCACACAAGGAGATTATATCCCACACCTGGCCCAGAGGGTCCCAAGCCCATGGAGCCTCCCTCATTGCTAGCAGAGCAGCCTGAGATCTAACTGCAAGGCGGCAGCGAGGCTGGGGCAGGGGCACCCGCCATTGCTGAGGCTTAAGTAGGTAAACAAAGCCGCAGGGAAGCTCGAATTGGGTGGAGCCCACCCCAGCTCAAGGAGGCCAGCCTGCCTCTATAGACGACTCCTCTGGGGACAGGGCATAGCTAAACAAAAAGCAGCAGACACCTCGGCAGAGGTAAATGCCCCTGTCTGATAGCTTTGAAAAGAGCAGTGGATCTCCAGGCAGGGAGGTTGAAATCTGAGAATGGACAGACTGGCTGCTCAAGTGGGTCCCTGACCCCTGAGTAGCCTAACTGGGAGACATCCCCCATTAGGTGCGGACCGACATCTCACACCTCACACGGTGGGGTACACCCCTGAGACGAAGCTTCCAGAGTAAGAATCAGACAGCAACACTCGCTGTTCAGTAATATTCTATCTTCTGCAGCCTCCGCTGCTGATACCCAGGCAAACAGGGTCTGGAGTGGACCTCAAGCAAACTCCAACAGACCTACAGCTGAGGGTCCTGACTGTTAGAAGGAAAACTAACAAACAGAAAGGACACCCACACCAAAACCCCATCAGTACGTCACCATCATCAAAGACCAAAGGCAGATAAAACCACAAAGATGAGGAAAAAGCAGGGCAGAAAAGCTGGAAAATAAAAAAATCAGAGTGCATCTCCCCCTCCAAAGGAACACAGCTCATCACCAGCAATGGAACAAAGCTGAACGGACAATGACTTTGATGAGTTGAGAGAAGGCTTCAGTCGATCAAACTTCTCAGAGCTAAAGGAGGAACTACGTAACCAGCTCAGAGAAACTAAAAACCTTGAAAAAAGAATGGATGAATGGATAACTAGAATAATCAATGCAGAGAAGACCTTAAAAGAACTGATAGAGATGAAAACCATAACATGAGAACTACGTGAAAAATACACAAGCTTCAGTAACCAACTCGATCAACTGTAAGTAAGAAAGAATATCAGTGACTGAAGATCAAATGAATGAAATGAAGCGAGAAGAGAAGTGTAGAGAAAAAAGAGTAGAAAGAAATGAACAAAGCCTCTAAGAACTATGGGATTATGTGAAAAGACCAAATCTACATCTGATTGGTGTGCCTGAAAGTGACGGGGAAAATAGAACCAAGTTGGAAAACACTCTGCAGGATATCATCCAGGAGAATTTCCCCAACCTAGTAAGACAGGCCAACATTCAAATTCAGGAAATACAGAGAATGCCACAAAGATACTCCTTGAGAAGAACAACTCCAAGACACATAATTGTCAGATTCACCAAAGTTGAAATGAAGGAAAAAATGTTAAGCGCAGCCAGAGAGAAAGGTTGGGTTACACACAAAGGGAAGCTCGTCACTAACAACAGATCTTTCAGCAGAAACTCTCCAAGCCAGAAGAGAGTGGTGGCCAATATTCAACATTCTTAAATAAAAGAGTTTTCAACCCAGAATTTCATATCCAGCCAAACTAAGTTTCATCAGTGAAGGAGAAATAAAATCCTTTACAGACAAGCAAATGCTTAGAGATTTTGTCACCACCAGGCCTGCCCTACAAGAGATCCTGAAGGAAGCACTAAACATGGAAAGGAACAACAGGTACCAGCCATTGCAAAAACATGTCAAAATGTAAAGTGCATTGATACTAGGAAGAAACTGCTTCAACTAGCAAGCAAAATAAACAGCTAATATCATAATGACAGCATCAAGTTCACACATAACAATATTAAACTTAAATGTCAATGGACTAAATGGTCCAATTAAAAGACACAGACTGGCAAATTGGATAGAGTCAAGACCTATCAGTTTGCTGTATTCAGGAGAGCCATCTTACATGCAGAGACACACATAGGCTCAAAATAAAGGGATGGAGGAAGATCTACCAAGCAAATGGAAAACAAAAAAAAAGCAGGGGTTGCAATCCTAGTCTCTGATAAAACAGACTTTAAACTATCAAAGATCAAAAGAGACAAAGAAGGCCATTACATAATGGTAAAGGAATCAATTCATCAGGAAGAGCTAACTATCCTAAATATATATGCACGCAATACAGGAGCACCCAGATTCATAAAGCAAGTCCCTAGAGACTTACAAAGAGACTTAGACTCCCATACAATAAAAATGGGAGACTTTAACACCCCACTGTCAACATTAGACTGATCAACGAGACAGAAAGTTAACAAGGATATCCAGGAATTGAACTCAACTCTACACCAAGCGGACCTAATAGACATCTACACAACTCTCCACCCTAAATAAACAGAATATACATTCTTCTCAGCACCACATCGCACTTATTCCAAAATTGACCACGTAGTTGGCAGTAAAGCACTCCTCAGCAAATATAAAAGAACAGAAATTATAACAAACTGTCTCTCAGATCGCAGTGCAATCAAACTAGAACACAGGACTAAGAAACTGAATCAAAACTGCTCAACTACATGGAAACTGAACAACCTGCTCCTGAATGACTACTGGGTACATAACAAAATGAAGGCAGAAATAAAGATGTTCTTTGAAACCAATGAGAACAAAGATACATCATACCAGAATCTCTGGGACACATTTAAAGCAGTGTGTAGAGGGAAATTTGTAGCACTAAATGCCCACAAGAGAAAGCTGGAAAGATCTAAAATGGACACCCTAATATCACAATTGAAAGAACTAGAGAAGCAAGAGCAAACACATTCAAAAGCTAGCAGAAGGCAAGAAATAACTAAGATCACAGCAGAACTGAAGAAGATAGAGGCACAAAAAACCCTCCAAAAAAATCAATGAATCCAGGAGCTGGTTTTTTGAAAAGATCAACAAAAGTGATAGACCGCTAGCAAGACAAATAAAGAAGAAAAGAGAGAAGAATCAAATAGACTCAATAAAAAATGATAAAGGGAATATCACCACCGACCCCACAGAAATACAAACTACCATCAGAGAATACTATAAACACCTCAACACAAATAAACTAGGACACCTAGAAGAAATGGATAATTTCCTGGACGCTTACAATCCCCCAAGACTAAACCAGGAAGAAAATGAATCCCTGAATAGACCAATAGTAGGCTCTGAAATTAAGGCAATAATTAACAGCCTACCAACCAAAAAAAGTCCAGGACCAGACAGATTCACAGCCGAATTCTACCAGACGTACAAGGAGGAGTTGGTACCATTCCTTCTGAAATTATTCCAATCAATAGAAAAAGAGGGAATCCTCTCTAACTCATTTTACAAGGCCAACATCATCCTGATACCAAAGCCTGACAGAGATACAACAACAAAAAAGAGAATTTTAGACAAATATCCCTGATGAACATTG